AAAATGTAACGTGGTATGAACGCGACTTTCTGAATGATGTAACATGCATATTCTAACCTAATATGCATAATCTAAATCACTAAGCACCAAATAACATGCACAATGGTATCAAACTATATGCGATAAAATTAAACATGCATGAATTCTAAATGTAACCTATTTGAGATACTAATTAGAATTCTTTTGTATTTTGATTTATTAATTTAATGAAAACGAAATTATCCCTATAATACTATACATGACCGAAGTTTACTAAGATAGTTAGCCCATGCTTTGTCCGGTTAGTTCGAAATTCAAAACCACCAATTTGTATTTCTTATTCAAAATGACCATATTTTTCTTATTGAAAAATTATTTAGTCAGTCCACTAGTATGATTTCGTCGTCGGATGTGCCCGGATCTCATTAAGCAATTATCATGTGATTGTGCTTGGGTCCTTGGGTACCAAGCTTCCATGCCTCAGTTATCGACGCCAGAGCCCAGGTTCACTAGATCAGGCCCAGGTACTGCTCAAGTTCCTAGTGGCTGGGTTCGAGAAATCCAAACTCCTATGACCAAGACCCTGGCGCTTGGGCTTGGAAATCCCGGTGGTCGGGCCCAAGTCCCCTGAGGCCAGGGCCCATTCCCAGACACACGAGCAGGGTTTTCGGCACTCGAAAAATAATTTGATATAGCATGTGGATCCCTTATATCACATAAATATTGCATGTTTCTTTAGAAAATTATCCCCTCGGATCATGGTATAAGTTTAGGATAGAGAGCTTTATTATAGTAATTATACGGTCTAAGATCGTACACTTGGCTCGACGTTACACGTTTTTCTCTAAGATGGATTATGTTCATAACATAGTTTATAGAAGAGTTGTGTTGGGCTAGAAAACAAAGATCTACCAAATTGATTTACCGAATCACATAGATAGTCAGTGGACACATCTAAACAAATGTCACCCGTCGAAAACGTCTGTCAACATTTTCACATAACTCTATTGATTATGAATTCTATAAATATGTGGAAAGAAACTGTGCAGTTGAATCTAACTAATGAGGACCGCTGAGGAGAGTGGGGATGCAGTTACGGTTATTGATGATGACCACACACAAAATTAGGGAAAAGTGTCGGAAAAGTCATAAACATTTTACATTAGTGCCAATTCAGTTCTAAATCTTTTTTTTTTGTGCCAATTCAGTCATAAACCTTTTGTCTTTGTGCCAATTTAATCATTCTGGCTAATTTTGGTCAGATTTTGCTGACGTGAACGCTGGTCTGCTTGTGGCACCGCCGGCGCTAATGGAGACAAATTTTAATAATATTTTAATTTATTCATTTTTCTTTTTTTCTTTTCCTTCTTCTTCTACCTTTGGCCCGTGACCTGATACCGGCCATCGGCCATGGCCGGCCACTTGGCCTTGCCCGGAGAGGCTGCCATCGCCCAAACGAGGCCACCGTCGCCGGCCACAGGCGAAGCCTGGCCGACCCTCACCTGGGCAAGGGCGGGCGAGCCTAGGTGAGGGTCGGCCTCGCCGGATCTGGTGAAGGGAGCCCTCACCGGGGCTCGCCCTTGCCCAGGCGAGGGTCGGTCGGGCCTCGCTTGTGGCGAGCGACGGCAGCCTCGCCCAGGCGAGGCCAGACGGCCGACCATGGCCGGTGGCCGGTGTTCGGTCACGGGCCACAGGTAGAAGAAGGACGAAAAGAAAAAAAGAAAAAAATCACAAAATTTTTTTAAAAAATCGAAAGAATATTAAAATATTTTTAAAATTTTCCATGTCAGCGCCGGCGGTGCCATGTAAGCCGACCGACATCCACGTCAGCAAAATCCGGCCAAAATTAGCTGGAATGATTAAATTGGCATAAATACAAAAGGTTTAGGATTGAATTAGCAAAAATCCAAAAGCTTTAAGGCTTGTCTGATACTTTTCCCTAGTTTTATCCAATCGTCCACAAAATTTGATTTCAATTTGTCATCTTTCAGGTGCTTTGCGCTTCTAACGAAGATCACTCGGTTGTTGAACCTTTGCTCCCTCTAGAGGGGGGCCAAACTTGGGGAACGGGTTTCGTCTATTGGGTGAGCCTGAAAAACTTTGTCTGATATTTACTTACCTGAACACCTCCTGTTGCCGATTGCCTTTTGTGGAAGCATATGCACGTTGCCGAACTAACTGCTTATGGAGAAAGTTAGAAAAATGAAGAGCATGCTTGACTAAAGCCAACTCCAAAGTCTACTTTACTATTCACAGTGTAAAGCACTTCCTAATCTCGCATGTGCACATACACGCACTCGTACACGATCGATCACCTGAGATTGATTGATCTATGTTGATCTTGCGGCACCCACTTACGCAGACACATTTGTAAAGCCATTCTCTAGAAAGATTAGTTGGGTAGCGCATGGTAACCATTCTGATTCTATTCAGAACTAGTTTTCTGTTCCTAGAAATAGTTTTGGACCAGAAACCCGTTTGGTAACGCAATTTCATTTTTCTATTTCTGGAATAACTTTTTGTTCAAGAACCGATTCTGGACCAGAAATCAGAACAAAAAAAAAAGTAGGTTTTCTATTTCTTGAACAAAAATCAGAATCATTTCTGAGAGAACTCTTTCTCTTCAAAAAACACAAAAAAAATTAGAAATCCAAAAAATTCCTAAAAATCTCAAAAAAAATTCAGAAAATCCAAAAAAATTGAAAAATTCCAGAAAAATTCATTAAAATGTCAAGAAAATAAAAAAATTCAGATTTCGGGAAAATAGGAAATTTGTTGAATTTTTTCAAAAAAAAATCAAGAAATCAAAAATTTCAAAACTTCACAGAATTGCTTAGAATACATGTGGCCACCCACTTTTTGAGTAAATTTTAAATTTTTTGAGATGCTAAAAAAATATAAAAAAATATAAAAAATTTCAAAACTTCACAGAATAGCTTAGAATACCCGTGGCCAACTATTTCGAGTGAAATTTAATTTTTTTGAGATTCCCAAAAAAAATAAAAAAAATCAGAAATTTCAAAACTTCACATAATGGCTTAGAATACTTGTGGCAACCCACTTTGAGCGAAATTTAAATTTTTTTAGGTGCCAAAAAAAATTAAAAAATAAAAACTTCAAAACTTCACAGAATGGCTTAGAATACCTGTGGCCACTCACTTTGAGCGAAATTTAAATTTTTTTAGGTGACGAAAAAAAATTAAAAAAAGTAAAAAAATTCAAAACTTCACAGAATGACTTAGAATACCTGTGGCCACCCAATTTGAGTGAAATTTAATTTTTTTTAGGTGACCAATTAAAATTAAAAAAGCAAAAAATCAAAAATACCATTTGGGCACCTCAAAAAATTTAAATTTCACTCAAAGTGAGTGGCCAGAAGTATTCTAAGCCATTATGTGAAGTTTTGAAATTTTTTATTTTTTTTTTGCATCTAAAAAAATTTAAATTTCACTCAAAGTGGGTGGCCACGAGTATTATAAGCTATTCTGTGAAGTTTTGAAATTTTTATTTTTTTATTTTTTTGGGCATCTCAAAAAAATTAAAATTTACTCAAAAAGTGGGTGGCCATAGGTATTCTAAACAATTCTGTGAAGTTTTGAAATTTTTGATTTCTTGATTTTTTTTAAAAAAATTCAACAAATTTCCTATTTTCACGAAATCTGAATTTTATTTTATTTTCTCGACATTTTGATGAATTTTCTGGAATCTTTCAATTTTTTTGGATTTTCTGAATTTTTTTTGAGATTTTTAGGAATTTTTCGGATTTTCTAATTATTTTTATTCCATTTCTAAAAAAATGGATTTCTGTTCCTGGAAATAGAATTTTGTGTTGTTTATCAAACGGGTTTTTGTTTCAGGAAATAGAAATTTTGTGCTGTTATCAAACGGGTTTCTGTTCCAGAAATAGAAATTTTTGGTCGTTATCAAACGAGTTTCTTTTCTCATAAACTCATCCTGGAACCGGAAATAGAAAAATCTATTTCTGTTTCAGGAACTCATTCTGGAACAGAATGGTTATCATGCGCACCCTTGGCAATAGGATACGATGTGTGACATCCAGCTAGCAATTGTTATTTCTCTTCAAAGTTATGCACTTCCTATTTGATCAATCGTCTACTTCCAGCTGTGTTAATCGAACATTGCATTGGAACATATTCGATAAAACACGCATATCAGCTAAAATATTGGTATAGATCTTAAAGCGTCAGACTTTTGCGTCCTTTTGCTCAAGCGCCGCTGCTGGTTCTTTATTCAGGGACGATGGAAAGCCAGAAGAAGTTCTGACCCTAAGAAGAAGCAGTCGGAGAAGATAACACCGGTATTTTTTGTAACTGTTAGTTTATCCTCTTCTTGATCAAGACTTATTCAGCTTGAATTTTAGATTGCTCTAGGTGGTCCACTCTTCTTCTTCATACGTATGGCTTCTGTGTTCAGCCAAAAAAATTATTTATGGCTTCGGTGGAATTGTAATTGCGAGCTCTGTTTATGGTGCATCATCTGTTTGCTGATGAGAAAGGCGATGCTACGTTCAAGGGTAGACCGTTTATGACTTCTGGTGGACCATGTGTTTCATCCATTCCTAAGGCGAGCGATGAAGCGGATCTTTTCTCAATTTTGAACCCACATTCAACTCCACCTCAGAAGTACCTAAAATAATGGATCTTCTTTGTATGTGCGCGACTCCATCAGACGAAATTGTCATGTATAATGTCACTCGAAACTCTCATCAATGGGATCGGACACGCGAGTTCTTGGGACATCTCGCTCTTGTACATTATTCGGAAATTCAAGAGTCAGGCTGAGATGATTTGCGCTCTACTACCTCATCGCCGAGGGAACGAGTTCGAATCTCTAGTCGCTAGAGTCTTAAGTGGGGAGCCCTGGTGGTGGGTTCCTGGGCTAGCTCCCCTACAGGTATAGTCGGTGGTCGTCATTGGGCCTGTCGGGCCCTCGGAGGCCATGAGCACCCGTAAGGTTGTGCCAGGCTGGATCTTGGGTATCAAAAAAAAAAAACAAAAAAGGCTATATTCCTGTGATGGTGATGGTCTTCTTCTATCTCCCCTACAAATTGAGGAGACTTCATTGCCTCTTGAACTCTCTCTGCCTTTCTCTTTGTGTCGATGACGATGGCGACTGGCTCCTGCTCGTATTCACTGTGATGGGATTTTGACCGTGATAGGAAATTGCCTCTTGCAAGAACCATAACTATGTTTTACATTTACATTTAGTATGCTTGGGTGATGAGATTGGATGCGCGGGTACGTGCGTGCGTGTGTTGCTCGTGCTAACATTTCAGGCTCATTAAGATGCCTAGCAAATTATATCAGGCTTCTGACCAAACAAAAAAATTTATATCAGGCTCATAAGACTAGGGAAGGAGGGGACTCCACCCCCACCACTTTAAATGAGCCATTGGTTATCTTATGACAGAAAATACCTTTGTGATTAGCACAAAACTGTGCACGTGCACCTTTGCGGACCACTTTTTCCATCGATCGGGATTCAATCCGGGAACCTTAAGCAACAAAGAAATAGAAGAGAAAATTAGCTTATCGACATAAGAAGAACTTGACCCCAACTCTTTTGCAAAGTAAAAGAACCAAATGTTGAATAAACTAACTTGCTCTGTCATTCGCTAATGATAAGATGTTTCTCAGAAGCTAAACAGGAAATAATTAGTCGATAGCAGCCAAAACCACGGGTAACCAATGCTTCAGAGCAAGGCAAGGAAGAAGAGACAGAAGTTTTGGGATATTTATGATGAAACTCACCTGGATAGAGTAGCAAGTGGCGTTCCCAGATAAGCATATCAGGTGAAGAACCCATAGGGAACTGAGAAACATCCCTATACCTGTTTGTTCTCCATAACGAGCCATCCTACACAGAATGCAACACATTATGTTAGTTGCATTATATTATGTATGCAAAGAATGCCGCAACCACATCCTCACAAGGTTCCGCATATTTACCTTGTAAGCACCAGCATAGAATTCATTCCCAAACATGTCTTGTATCATACCACAAAAGGGCACAAGCGTATTGGGCTGAACATGTCTGATAGTGCTTGCAATTGCTACTGAGAGTTCTATAAGCTAGAGATTCTCTAGGCATAAGCATAATTTTTAATAAAGGGAGAACACATTACATAACCATTCCTGCATCTTTATTACGGATCAGAACTTAATGATATTTGTTAGACCCATGTGCGCCAGCTATTAGGTGATAAATGCCAAAAACTTGACTGTATTAAATATTAGAAAGAGTGTTTCAAATATTTTTCTATTTCCATATCACATATTACAAACTCCAAGAGAGTTGCAAGTCTGCAGAGAGCATAATTATAATGAAGGTCCGGGGATTTAGCACTCAGCCACCCGAGGAAGGCCGAAAGTACATGCAGATAGGTGGGCTGATCCTAAAGATAGAAAGTATTGACGAAGGAATGGTCCATATACCATCACCGCATATTAGACCTGAAGCAACAGCTCCTCCATAGTCCCCTCGTCCTTCTTATTAATTCTCTCCCAGATGAACAATATTACGGTTCCCACAAACATATCGATTGCAAAGTAGGCTCCAATGTAGAATGGGAAAGCCATAGCCATTGGAATCGGGATGAACTGCGAGACCTTCTTGGGTGTCATGTCCCTCCGGAGGTTAATAATCAGAGCTGCCACGAAAAACCCTAGGCACATGGCGAGACAGTTCTTGGGAAGCTCAGAGAAGCCCTCACTGCCCAAGATTGCCATTTCCCTGTATATTATGGCATTTGGTGCTTTGTATGGTCCGTCCGATGAACCGATATCAAAAGCAGTCCAAAACAACCAAAATGTGAGTGGGCCGACGATACAACCCATGGCAATTCCTACTAGCTGACTCACGAACATTGATCTTGCAGATGATAAAGTTAGATAACCGGTCTTGAAATCTTGCATAAGATCAGCGGCTGTGGTGACAATGGACATCATAACCCCACATGCTGCTAAACCAGCTATCACGCCCCCATTAGACCCAACCAAAGATGCAATGATGAAGAGCCCAATCTTTCCATAAATCGAGCCCAAGTTACAGTCTGTTAGCCCAGTACCATAAGAATTGCAGAAGGCAAGGGCAGGAGCAATGATGTACGAACCTAGAACCAAATACCACCGAAGAGGTGGAAAGATCATCGGTGCCGTCACTGTGGATATTGCGACAAGGCCCACATAGCCAGATGCTGCAAACCAGAAGGGCATTCGGTCTTTCAAAAATATCTGATCTCTTTTCCATTGCTCCATCACTATCTTGGAACTCTCGTCATCTGCAAAAATCACAAGAATCAAACAGTACACAAGGGCTATCTAAAGGGAAAAAAGAGAGCCTATGCATAGATGATCAAGGACAACGTTCTTCCACAGGCACTAAATAAAAGTGAAATGAAATGACTATCGCACTAATAGAGAAGATGCGTGCATGTTACAGTACAACTAAATAATGAATGCTCATTTTCGAGAAAGTGGAACTAAATATGTCCAAAACAACCGGACGAAGATAACAGAAGCATTCAGAGTATACTACCATCCCGAGCAGGTACCCAGAATCCATAATAGAAGCTTGAGATTTATATCTTTTTTGGTCAGTTCTGATTAGATAACCTGATCTCAAGATCAATTCAGCAATCAGATGAAACATCTAATATTTGATGCACAGCGATACAGATTCATTCATGCATGCTGAACAATAGTGACTCCAAGAGGCAGCAGGTATAATACGGGGTGCCCACTAGAATATGCAACCGATTGGCCACATTAATTATAGGAAGAATTTCTTAGCAACTTTTACCACTTTAATAAACCTTTTAGCTCAAATATAGCTTTCAGATGTTGATTTTTAAGAATTCATTATCTGAGCAATCATCCTAGATAATAGATGAGAAAGCCGTACCATCGTGAAATGAATATAAGTAGGCTAAGTTCTCATCCACTAGCTTCAATTATAAATAAGCAACATAGTTTATGTCCTTACCAAGAGACTCCATGATGATCGGCAGGTTGCTAGTCTCACTGCCTTTGTTGAACATCTCTTTGACAGTTATTCTTATTACCTTGATCAAATTGTAGAGACCGTCCCCGAGAATAAGTGAAATAGCTATGAAAACCTGAAACAGAAAGGAAACAGAGAGGAAAGTTGCTTCAAAGTCAGTAAAGCAAAGAGAAAATTTCACAAAAATGTGCCATCTCCCTGTGGCCGCACAGGCTCACCCTAAGTATTTGCTGGTGGGATGTCTCCATCTAATGGAGATCTTTCTCCCTTTTTACCTTGATGTGGGCCAGTACTCATCTTCATCACACAAAACAACATTTTGCAAGCAAGCACACTTGGAAGTGTTTGTTGTGAATAACATAAATGTTCTCGTGCAGTACCTGATACCCGTAGAGACCTTTGAAGTCATTGCTGCCAAGATCAGCTGGATACCAATCCCCAGCATGTTTTGAAATGAAAGGGCAGAGGAAACCCCATGATATAATTGCCCCAAGTAGAACTGAACAGTTAACTATGTGGGGACAGATGAGACCACATCCAACATAAGTTGGGCTAAAGTCAAAATAGAACCTGCATAAAGAGCATGATGCGTGATCAGCAAGGAAGATACACATATTAGCAATCTTAGCATGTAAGAGAAAACCAAATACTAGAGATAAACGACTAGCAAATATATCTATTTTATTGAACGAAAATGGATGTGCTAGACGTTAGAAAACTAGCAAGCATATCCATTTGACTCTACCTATGATAGTACATGGCACAAACTCCTCGGAAAGCAGTTTAATGAGTGAGTGCCAGAAGTAAAACATGCAAATGACATTGAGAGGCAGGTAAGCATGTGTGTATGAGAGAGAGAGAGAGAGAGAGAGAGAGAGTTACGTGTTCTTAAACAGAGTCAAGCCAAGGCTGGGAAAATGATCAAATCCACATGAATTGCCAATACCACCGAAGAACCACTTGAAGCAGCTCCATAAAAGACTTATGCTCAACCATTTTCCGAGGCAACCAACTTGCTTGCTGGGAAATCAACACAGCAGTCGCATAGCTAGTTAAGAGAGATCCAAAGTGAAGAAAAGAATTGTACAGAGTCGAAAGACTAAAGTTACGTTAGCTGTTCACACTACTTTCCTGATTAGTAATTTTTTAACAGTTTGTATAAGGAACCTTTTAACCCTTCAAGACTAAATCTGGCGAACGCAGACTACAGATGGGAAATGTTTTCCAGGTCCACCATTTTAATAAAATCCCAATCACCTGAGCTTCATAGCTGCAAGCCTGAAGCTCTATAAAGCATATGGTTTCCCTCAGCCTCGCTTACCCAGCAAGTTCAGCTCTGCTGTTTGTGTGAAAGCTGTTTATTAGCGTAGCTGTTGCAGTACCACTTGGATAAGCAAGCTTATAATCCATGATCATAACCTGTGATAATTGGACAGAAAAAGAGAAGATTAGAAAAGGATGACACGCGCTGCTGGTCGTGATACTTGCAAATATATATATATTTACAGCAGTATACTTCAGATTTTAGCGTTGTAAACCTACAAATCAAGTATGTGCATTCACCGACCTTTTGAAGAGGAACAAGGCTAAAGACTCCCACAAAGCTGACAACAAACGAGAACCCGATCATCCATCCCAAGCCTAGGTTTTTAACATCTTCTGCCCGATTACCAGGATAATCAGCACCAATGCGCTGATATATCTTTTCATCCATTGCAATCAAGTATGAACCTCCACCTATCAATAATCAAACGGCAAGTTAAACCCAAAAACAAAAAGTTGTGATTATCAAAATTTAGGGGGAATGCTAAGAAGATGTTCCAAATGCGAAGTTGCTTGGACCAGTTCACCAATCAAGCATCTGTATCTACTCGATGACCTAACCAAACATCAGAGTCATGCAACAGTCAACAATGCGAACCCGATGCCATCCATCTACATGCATTAGCAGATATACTCTTCTAACAATCTGAAGTATGGAGCCTCGTGTTTTACTATTCTAAGCAGGAAACTTACTTTCCTTTTGATTAGAAGGAAGATTATCCGAATAGACTCACCGCCAGAAATCATCAACAACATTAAAGGCTCGACGGTCATAAAGTGGATAAAAGAAATCACACAACAGAAGTTTAGTTTCATAATATTGCCAGCGATAGCAGCAACCAATGTTGACTGGACAGAAACGCATAGCTATTCCAACACGACAGTGAAATTAAGCTTTTTAGCAGTTGAGGGTAACAGCAACAACCGAAAACCACACGTGATGCCGAATCTGACTGTGCCAAAAAAGAAAAACTGACCACCCAAAGCGAGCCCATAGCACGCGACCACGCAGGTCTGGATCACCGTATTTTCCTGGCGAGTGAAGGGCATGACCGAGAGGCCCAGCCGCGACAGGAACCCCGTCCATGACTTGACAAACAAGAACCCTAGCAGCCCGGAGGCAATGTTCAGGGACGGTATCCTGCCGACAGTCAGGTTGAGCTTGTGGGTGATGATGCAGAACAAGCTCCCCAGCACAGCGCTCCCTGCAAGCGCTCGGACCGTGATCTGGTCCCTCCAATTGGGAATCCTCTTCTCCTCGCTGTCGTCATCGATGCTCTCGCGCTTTTCGGATATCTGAGAGCGCGGATCCAAAAGCTGTTCTGATATGTCAGTATCCATATGGAGAGAGGCTTAATAGAGTTGAAGAAGCGGCGGCTCGGGCTCAATGGCACCAGGGTAAAGCCGAAGGCGTAACGGCGGCAATCGCTGGCTGCGTGACGTAGAACAGTTAGCCTGTGATTATCTTGAAGAATGTGATCGTCGTAATCGCCGAAAATCTAGGCAGTTTTTCTGATTAGGCAGTTTTTTACAGGTAATTTTTAATTATCAATATTTCGTTTGATTTTATTAAATAAGATTAGATTTGATTTTATTAGATTATATTTTATTTTATTTTATTAGATAAGATTTGATTTGATTTGCTTTGATGTTATCTTCGTTAATTCGGATATCTTTAGGAGTCCTATCATTATCATTATAAAGGACGTCCAGCTTTGTATTCAGATATTATGAAATTGAATTGAATTCAAGTCGAATCGTGGAAGAGTTTTCCAAGTTATCGCTTCTATCTGCGTCATTTGGTATCAGAGCAGGTTTCTCCTGTGACGATGGTGAATAACGTGAATGTCAATCTCCCCGCTGATGAGGGCCGTGAGAACGAGCCTATTACGTGGGCTGAGTTCAATCAGTTCGTGGATCAAACCGATCGGAGGTTTCAAGAGATCCTTGATGCCATCCAGCGTTTGTCCACAAACCATGCGCCTGGCAATCTTCCAGCCGAGCAAATTCCTGTTGTTCGTGATCCCGAAGATGCTATGGGGCGTGGAGGAATTCCCCGACAAAGGCGTCAAGACTATGTTGAGGATACGGAAGACGAAGACGATGATTTCCAGGAGATGCAGATTCGTGGTGGTCGCCGATACAGGGGATTCCAAGAGGAGCATGTTCGTGGGAATCGACGTCAGGGAGGCTATCGACGAGATCCTGAGCAGTATCAACTAAAGGTAGATCTCCCTACTTTCAATGGGAATTTAGATATTGAAGATTTCCTTGACTGGCTTTGGGAGGTCGAAAAATTCTTCGACGCTATGGATATTGACGAAGATCACCAAGTGAAACTTGTGGCGTACAAGTTGAAGGGTGGCACTTCAGCTTGGTGGGAACAGACTCAATTGACGCGACGTCGACAAGGCAAGGCTCCTATTCGATCATGGGGTCAGATGAAACAGAAGTTGAAGAAGAGGTTTCTCCCAACGGACTATGAGCAATCGTTATTTCAAGCAATTCGCAGTGCCGACAATCGAATAGATCCGTCCAAGCTTATACGAAAGAGTTCCTTCGACTCTCCGCTCGCAATAACCTGGATGAGTCCGAGGCACAACAAACTGCTAGGTACATTAATGGTTTGCGACTTAATATTCAGGATCGGGTTTCTTTGCATCGACTATTCTCTGTCAAAGACGCCCAGGATATGGCGCGAAAAATTGAGGTGCAATTGGAGAGGACTAGCCCTAGTACTCGTGGTAGTAATTATTCGGGTCGTGGGTCATTCGGGAAAGGAAGACAGCCTGATGTTGCAAGTTCTTCTAGTCAACAAACACCTGATTCGAGCCGAGTTCCAGGGGGCACTACTGGAACGCCTAAGGAAGCAGTCGTAGCAAGCAATCACACTCCCAATCAGAATACCCAGAATCCATATGCCAAGCCCCAACCGATCAAGTGCTACAAGTGTAACGAGTTGGGCCATCGTTCCAGCGATTGTCCTCGTCGTAGAATGGCCAATATCGTTGAACATGACGAATATGTGTATGAGGAAGATTGGGAAAATGAAGAAGAAGTGGGAGTGGAAGATGAAGTGGGCGAGCAAGTTAATTGTGTTGTGCGTCGTCTATTGCTTGCTCCGCGGACAAAAGATACCTAGCGGAATCAGCTTTTCCGCGCTCGCTGTACTGTCAACGGCAAAGTATGCGATATCATTATTGACAGCGGAAGTTGCGAGAACATAGTGTCAAATGCCTTGGTGGATCACTTGCAACTAAATACGGAGCCGCATCCTGCGCCCTACACAATCGGGTAGATACGCAAGGGAGCAGAACTTAAGGTAAACCAATTATGCCGTTTACCTATTTCGATCGGGAAATCATATCAAGATACTATTGTCTGTGATGTTGTGGAGATGGATGCGTGTCATGTTTTACTGGGTCGGCCATGGCAATATGTTGTTGATGCTACACACCGAGCTAGGGAGAATACGTATTATTTTGTGTGGAAAAGGACTAAAATTACTTTGAGACCGAAGAGTAATTCCCCTCAGATTGTGAAAAAGCAGAATGCAGGGGTTATGATGAACAACCGGAAGCGTGAAGGGATGTATATGATTGTGGACAAGGGCGACCAGCAAATTGTGGTTCGTGTTCCCGACATTCGTAAGCCCTTATTAAAGGTATTCAGTGATGTTATGCCTGAGGATTTACCTGACGGATTACCTCCTTTGAGGGATATCCAGCATGAGATTGATTTTCTTCCAGGTGCTAGTCTTCCTAATTTGCCGCATTATCGAATGAATCCGAAGGATAATCAGATTCTACAGGAGCAGGTGGGAGAGCTCCTTCGAAAGGGCTTATTGCGTGAAAGCAAAAGCCCATGTGCAGTTCCTGCGCTTCTCACGCCAAAGAAAGACGGCACCATGCGTATGTGTGTAGACAGTCGTGCCATTAACCGGATTACTGTCAAGTATAGGTTTCCGATTCCACGACTTGATGATATGCTAGACAGACTTGCTGGATCACGGATTTTTACGAAGATCGACCTTCGAAGCGGATACCACCAAGTTCGCATCCGCCTTGGCGACGAATGGAAAACGGCCTTCAAGACAAGTGCGGGTTTGTATGAATGGCTTGTCATGCCGTTTGGACTCACTAACACGCCTAGTACTTTCATGCGTTTGATGACTCAGGTTCTCAAACCATTTATTGGCAAGTTTGTGATAGTTTTCTTTGATGATATACTCATATATAGTCCGGATGGGCGTCAACACATGGAGCACTTGAGGGATGTCCTACTAACCTTGCACCAAAATAAATTGTTCATTAATCTGAAAAAGTGTAGTTTCATGACAGAACGCCTCTTGTTTTTGGGTTTTGTTGTTGGCGCGGATGGACTTCACGTTGATGCAGATAAGGTGGCCGTGATTCGCGATTGGCCAGTTCCAAAGAATGTTGGCGAGGCTCGAAGTTTCCATGGCCTTGCAACATTCTATAGGCGTTTCATTCGAGATTTCAGTACTATTATGGCCCCGATCACTGACTGTTTAAAAAAGGGCAAATTCCATTGGGGAGATGAAGCTTTGGCCAGCTTCAAGCTTATCAAAGAAAGCTCTCAACGGCACCAGTATTGATGCTCCCTGATTTTGAGAAAGTGTTCGAGCTGGACTGCGATACTTCGGGTATTGGAATCGGCGCTGTTCTTTCCCAAGAAGGTAAGCCTATTGCTTTTTTTAGTGAGAAACTTAATGAAGTTCGTCGGCGGTGGTCTACGTATGAGCAAGAGTATTATGCTGTAGTGCGCGCTATAAAGCATTGGCAGTCCTATCTTTATCAGCAGGAATTTGTTCTTAACACCGATCATCATGCTCTTAAATATATCAAGAGTCAGAAGCACTTAAATCGAATGCATGCACGATGGGTTTCTTTTCTAGAGCAATTTAATTTTGTGCTTCGTCATAAAGCAGGCCATTTAAATAAAATGGCAGATGCGCTGAGTCAACGTGCTGCGACACTCGTGACCATGCGCACTAATGTTGTCGGTTTTGATTACCTATGTTCTCTTTATCCTGAGGATGATGATTTTAGTGAGATATGGGAGAAGTGTTCTAAAACAAGTTGTCACGGCGATATGATAATTCAAGAAAAATTCTTGTTTTTTGTCAATAGATTATGCATTCCTCGTGGTTCCTTGCATGAACAACTCATTCGAGAGCTTCATGGTGGTACTCTCGGCGGACATTTGGGGCGAGATAAAACTGTAGCCTTGGTGGAGGAGCGGTACTATTGGCCTCAACTGAAGTGAGACGTGGGGCGATTTGTCAATAAATGCTACATTTGTCAGACTGCTAAGGGCCACTCTCAGAACACTGGTCTTTATACCCCATTGCCTGTTGCTTCGGGTCCTTGGGTAGACATATCGATGGACTTCGTGTTGGGACTTCCTCGCACTCAACGGGGTTTAGATTCTGTTTTCGTGGTGGTTGATCGGTTTTCGAAGATGGCGCACTTCATCCCTTGTAAGAAAACTTCGGATGCTTCACATGTGGCAAGTTTATTCTTTCGTGAAGTAGTCCGTCTCCATGGTGTGCCGAAGACAATCACTTCCGATCGTGACACGAAATTTCTGAGCCATTTTTGGCGTACTTTATGGCATTTGTTTGGGACTGATTTACAGTATAGTAGTTCTTTTCATCCCCAAACGGATGATCAGACGGAAGTTGTGAATCGTACTATGGCGGATATCATTCGCTGTCTCTGCAGTAATATGCCTAAGCAGTGGGACCGGTATCTTGCTCCTGCTGAGTTCGCCTTCAACAACTCGATTAACCGCTCTACCGGTACATTTCCCTTTCAGGTCGTTTATGGGCGTACACCACAGCATACTCTGGATTTGGTTCCTTTGCCCAAGATTCCTGGCTATAGTGTCGAGGCAGAGAATTTGGCGACCAGAATTAATGAAGTCCAAGCTGCTGTTGCTAGTCAATTGGCTGCTTCTAATTCAAAGTATAAGGAGGATGCTGACAAACGGCGACGTTCGAAAATTTTTGAGGTAGGCGATGAGGTAATGGTTTTCCTGCGAAATGAGCGTTTTTCTGGAGGTACCTATAATAAACTGAAGCACAAGAAGATTGGTCCTTGCCACATCCTGCAGAAGATCAACGACAATGCCTATGTAGTTGACCTTCCTGGTGATCTCAACATTTCCCCTACATTTAATGTGGCAAACTTATTTGAGTATCATGCTCCCGATACACCCCTCTATCCTAATCATAACTCGAGGGCGAGTTTTCTCGAAGAGGGAGGGAATGATGTAGAACAGTTAGCCTGTAATTATCTTGAAGAATGTGATCGCCGTAATCTCCGGAAATCTAGGCAGTTTTTCTGATTATGCAGTTTTTCTGATTAGGTAGTTTTTTACTTTAGGCAATTTCTAATTATCAATATTTCGTTTGATTTTATTAGATAAGATTAGATTTGATTTTATTAGATTAGATTTTATTTTATTTTATTAGATAAGATTAGATTTGATTTGCTTTGATGTTATCTTCGTTAATTCGGATATCTTTAGGAGTCCTATCATTATAAAGGACGTCCAGTTTTGTATTCAGATATTATGAAATTGAATTGAATTCCAGTCGAATCGTGGAAGAGTTTTCCAAGTTATCGCTTCTATCTGCGTCACTGCGGCTTTGGAAATCTCACACAGCTTTCCTCGGTCGGGTCGATCCCTCTGATAAACCTCCAGATGTCCAAGAAACAGACTGAGCCTAAGCCTGAGCTTGAGCCTGAGCCTGGAGATGGTGTCGTCGGAGGGGGGATGAGGGCGGCGTGCACTGCACGTCCGTCAGGGCGAAGTCGTGTGGGGCTGGAGGATGGAGCAGGTGGACATGGCGGCGTCGAAGACTTAGACGACGACCTTGCGCTTGGCGTAGTCGATGGAGTGGACTTCCTACCATATGAGCACATGGTAAGGCCCTTTTCGCGGATTGTTTGGAGCTTATTTCGGCCCCACCCGCGCATTCGTCCAGCCCATTGTCCGAAGGAGTCCAATTTAGTAGGGGGTGATAAGTTCTGGTACGATGGAACCGGTCACTTTTTCTTTCTCACTACTTGACGTCATCTCTTCGTATTCTCCACTACCTTTTTAGAAAATAGATATGAGTAAAAGAATCCTACTATGTGCTCATATATCTTTTACAATAGACAAAAAAATTTATTAAAAAAAACAGATTTATTATAAATTGCAGATAAAAAACAATAAATAAACCCACCAATCATTGAGAGATCTGAGGAACTAGCAGAGAGAGAAAATGGGTATGAGGGCGGGCAAATTGGTGGAGAGGGTGGGCAACGCAAAATTAGCGACGAACTTTTATGTTCGTTGCTAATTTTCCGTCGCTCAATTCTTTTTTTTGTAGTGTAATTTTACGACGAAATTAGTAATGAATTTTGCGACTAATTTTGCGACTAATTATTTTTCGTTGCAATTTAGCGACGAAATTAGTGACGACCTATTATATTAACAATTCAGCAAATAAAAAATTTAGCGACAAATACGGTTTGTCACTAATTAGCGACGAATTTTGTGACGAATATGCCACGGAAGTTATTTTCATAGCTAATTAGCGACGGATTTTTTACGAGAAAAAATTCGTCGCTAATTAGCAACGAATTCTTTTTTCGTCGTAAATTAGCGACGGATTCTTTTTCGTTGCAAATTCCGTAGCAAATTAGAGACGAATTTACTTTCGTCGCTAATTTTCCGTGACTAAATCCTTATTTTTTTTTGTAGTGTTATGTAACTGAGAAAGCGCAAACAAAAGATAAATTCAGAAGAGTTTAAAAACAAAATCCAAAATAAGAAAAAGTGAGAATTGCCACCTTTTTTTTTTCCAATTGAGTCCTAAATCTTTTACATTTGTACAAATTCAGTTCATCCGACCAATTTTGCTAGAAATTGATTATATGGATGATTGCCGTCCTACGTAGTACGGCCAACGCTGATATGAACATTTTAATTTTGTTTTCCTTTTTTTCTTTTTCCCTTCCTTCTTCATCCAGCTCGGCGACTGGCCGGAGGCGAGGGCTAGCGACTCAAGATCGGCCTCGCCATAGCTGGGTGAGCCCTCACCTGATCTAGGAGGCCGATCTCGCCGTCACTAGGGGAGGCCAAGCCTTACCAGGGTCGGACGAGGCTCGGCATCGCCCAGAAATGGTGAGGTCGGCCTTGCCAGTGGCTGGAGGAAGAAGAGAGGGAAGAAGAAAAAAAAACGTCTTACAAATTTGGGGACCTCGTTGAACAAAGGCACAAGTTCATGGATCCAATGTGTAAAATTTTGTTTCCCATGTTCTTTGAACCGTTCTCTAAAGTCTCACCTGGCGGCCATCCCGAAAGAGGCAGGAAAGTAACAAAGCTAATCTGGGCTTTTACCACATCTCTTCATGAGAATCAACTCTTCTTACACAACCCGATTATTTCTCTTACGTAACAAAATGAGTTCCATCGAGAATAATCGCGTTAGCAATAGATTCTGATCCACCTTATCTGGTGTACGAATATCAGTAGAGGAAGGAAGATATGTGTCTCTATACATGTCCACGTGTATCTGGCCGACCCTGGGGACATCGATTAGGAAGCACTGGAAAAGTATGTTTGCATGACATCCACAAATTCAAGGTTTTTAGCCGAAATTCAAGGCCTCGATAGGTTGGAGTTTTTGGAAAGCCTGGATATCTCTTGGTGCACTTCAATTGAAAAGCTAGACCTTTCAAAATCCGCGAGGCTGAAGAATTTAGAAGTTTCTCACTGCGAAAACTTAGCCGAAATTCAAGGCCTTGATACGTTGGAGTTTTTGGAAAGCCTGGATATCTCTAAGTGTGCCTCCATTGAAAGGCTAGACCTTCCAAAATCCGGGAGGCTGAAGATATTAAATGCTGTTGACTACATAAACTTAGCCGAAATTCAAGGCCTCGATAGGTTGGAGTTTTTGGAAGACCTGGATATCTCTGAGTGTGATTCAATTGAAAAGCTAGACCTTTCAAAATCCAGGAGGCTGAAGAAATTAAAAGTTGTTGACTGTGAAAACTTAGCCGAAATTCAAGGCCTCGATACGTTGGAGTTTTTGGAAAGCCTGGATATCTCTAAGTGCGTCTCCATTGAAAGGCTAGACCTTCCAAAATCCGGGATGCTGAAGATATTAAATGCTGTTGACTGCATAAACTTAGCCGAAATTCAAGGCCTCGATACATTGAAGTTTTTGGAAAGCCTGGATATCTCTGGAAGTAGGTCACTCAAAACAATTCCAGAGTTATCTGGAACGATTTATCAAAATTAAGACGGGCCATTTGGTTATCTAAGATATGGATCAAAGTATATAAATTACGAGCAAGTCCCTCAATGTGTGGTAACGGAAATAGATGAAAAGGCTTTCTAAGCGCATCATTTGTCATTAGTCTTCAGGTAGGATCCTTCATCCTATGTAGAAAAATAAAGATTTTCGACGTTTGATTCTGGAATGCTGGAGGTACTGAATAAAAATTGATGTATGCAGGTATTTCATAGCATGCCAAAGGTCATTGTGTAGGTCAAGAAATGCTAAATGAGGCTGGCGAGAGCTCGAGCTCGCCGGCCATGGCGAGCTTCGCCCAGATCTGGGCGAGCTCAAGGACGCCGGCCTCGCCCGGATCACGTAGTCGAGGGCTTGGCGAGGCCGTCGCCGGAGGCGATGGTGTCGCGCGCGAGCTTGAGGAGGAAGGGCCCGAGATCCGGGTTGTCGAGGGCCGCATCGGGCGGGATGGGGCTGGCGGTGGAGCCCGGCGACTCCGGCGGGGGCTTTCGTGGGGAGAACTTGGAGCGGGAAGGGGAGGGGGAGGGTGCCATGGCCGGCGAGCTCGAGCTCGCCGGCCATCTGGGCGAGCTCGGCCGGCGAGCTTTGCCCAGATCTGGGCGAGCTCCGCCCTCGCCGGCCCTCGCCATCGCACAACCATGGCGAGGGCCGGCATGAGCTCGAGCTCGTCCAGATCTGGGCAGAGCTCGCTATGGCCGGCGAGCTCGAGCTCGCCCAGATCTGGGCAGAGCTCGCCGGCCGAGCTCGAGCTCTCGCCGACCTCAGCTTTGGCCCAGTCGCCGGACCGGCGACCAGGGAAGAAGAAAAGAAAAGAAAAAAAATTTTGGACAAAATTGCCCCTATTCCAATGCCGGAAATGTCGGCCGGTCGCCGGCCGGCGGACATTTGGCCGGCCGGTGAGCTCAGGTCCTTATTTGATACTAGTTTGGGCACTTTGGGTCCGTAATTGATACTTTGTCCACTTGGGGTCCTCTTTTAAAAAAAGGTACCCACTTTGGGTCCTTATTTGATAATTTCCCTATAATAATTTACGTCATCAAATAACGTATGATCTGTCATTTGAGCAAACAGAAAGACTACATTGAACATTTTAATGACTGTATTGAATAAATAAAAAATCTAAAAATAATATTACATACTGAACTAAAGTTTGAGGACCATACGTGTCATATAGCCTATTTAGAAAAGATCCAGTAAGGCAAGTTACCATGAAAAACAAGACTCTTTGTATAATATATGGCTCTTTTAAGGTTAAATTATGAGAAAAACAATAGTTTGTAATAAATAAATTTGATGTGCATGTAAGTGACTAAAAAAATCCCTTTTGAGCACAATAATTAGATAAATCCAAACTCTCAAATCGTCCCTCGCATATCCTTACAAATTGGTCGATTGGTCTATAAGATAGACAAAAGGTTCACGAACTCCCGAATCTATAACTCCAACCAGAGAGAGAGAGAGAGAGAGAGGGAATGACTGGCGGCGGGAATGCCACGTGGGAGCAACTCATTCGTCGACAGCAACGGGACCGATTGCCATGGGACCCCGACCGGAAGCCTTATCTTGTCCACCATGATTTTTTCCCCAAAGCAGAGCGGGGGCACCAAAAGAAGGGAAAAAAACAAAAACACCCAAGAAAAGCAAGCGACTTTGGCGTCTGAAATCAGCTTAACCGAAACTGAACCATACAATTAAGAGGGTCCACTTTTGTTTCGCTGACTGAGCGGGACGTTGCTGAATCTTGCATGAAGGTGTTCTCTATAAGTTCCAATCTAGAAGTTCTTGATATTCTCATCCACTGAGGAGGTTCAGAAGTAGCTCAAGAAAGGAACAGAGGCACTTGGAAGAGCAGGGTACGTCTCTCCTTCTTCGGTCTTTCTCCTATCATTGCAATATCGCTTCTCTCTTCACCTAATGTTAACCAAGATCATGACCAATCCAGCTTCAACGCGGATGAGCAACGAAACTAGAAACTTTGGCTCTATAGTTGTTATCTAGCTCATCGTTTGGGGTCAGAAACTTTCATTTTCATGGCATGATCGTAGATTAGGTTGTCGTTTCCCCATTAATAGATTAGCAATTGTGGGGAACAAAAGAAAATTGTACGGATTTATACTGGGCATTCTTACAGAATAATATTGCAGAAACCATTATGTGGCATCCCAGTATTAGCCGTAGCGATGAAAAACGCTGTCAATTATGACACGGGCTAGCTCATGACGACGATGATTATAAATCACCAAACGAGCGAGTTTATAAAGGCGATGATTGTAAACTAACGGGTTCTATATTCTGCTATTTCAAGTGATTCCAGGTTGCAAAATGATGTTTCATTAGCAATAGGAGAGCCAGATTCCGAAAAATTTTGGTTCTCTTTTTGCGCGTTTAGCTGAATACCATCATGGTTGACTAATTTTTAAAGTGAAATCTTTCTGGTTACTATTTGCCAGCCGGTGAGGAAGCACAAGTGAGCTCAACTCAACTTGGATACAGGAGCACCCTTGTGTTTGGTCAAATGCCCGAAAAGCTCAGACTCTTAACACAAAACTCTTCCTGCATAAGAGATTGATTTGAGTCATGGCTTCTCATGTGAAGAGCAATGGCGGGATCTCTATTGCCAGGGAGAGGACTGGTCAATGGTAATTACGCTCCTACGATGAATTCATGCTATGTCTATCCGAATTTTCCGTCTTTAAGTTACTGATTTCATGAATTGTTCATTTCACGTAGGCTTCTTTCTCAAGAAATTCCGACTGATATTGACGTCAAAGTAGGCAAAGCAAATTTCTCTCTCCATAAGGTATGGGATGAGTAATGAGTTCATGGTCAGGTTGTGGAGTAATCTGGGGACTGGAAAATGAATATCATATTCAATTGCTTCTTGGCAGTTCATGCTAGTGGCTAAGAGCAACTACATGAGGAAGATGGTGATGGAGTCGAAGGAAGCGGAACTGACCAGGATCGATCTGTCCAACATCCCTGGAGGCCCAGAGATATTTGAGAAAGTGGCAAACTTCTGCTACAACGGCGACTTCGAGATCACGGTGAATAACGTTGCCGCTCTTCGTTGTGCTGCGGAGTACCTGGAAATGACAGACCAGTATTGTGACAACAACCTTGCGGGCCGTACTGAGGACTTCCTTGTTCAGGTGGCCTTCTCGAGCCTGTCTGGCATGATCCTCGTTTTGAAGTCATGTGAAGATCTTCTTCCCAAGGCAGAGGACCTCAAGATTGTCCAAAGATGTCTCGACGTGGCAAGTGCCAAGGTAAAGGTTCGCATTTGCGGTTGCTTCGCCTTGCAATTTGAATGCTTAGGATAAGGGGCACTGAGAGATATGTAATGCGACCGTGGTTGCTATTGCAGGTATGTAAAGAGGCGATTTTTCCGAGCCGTTCTCCATCAAACTGGTGGACAGTCGAGCTATCGGTGTTAAATGTTTTGTTCTTTGGAAAGATCATTGCTGCAATGCAACAAAGAGGTGCGAAGGCCCTTATCCTGGCCATGGCTATCATCACATACGCAGAAAGATCTCTCCCAGGTCTCGTACGAGACCATTCTGGCGTCAGAACTAAGTCATCAGATATCAACGACTCCCATGGTCTAGAGCAGCAGCGCAAGTTACTTGAATCTATAGTTATGCTTTTACCCCCAGAAATAGCTGCTTTTCCCATTAGATTCATTTGCTGCCTTCTCCGAGTTGCTATCTTTCTTAAAGCCTCGACCAATTGCAAGAAGGAGCTTGAGAAACGGCTCTCTTCGATTTTAGAGCATGTGACGGAGGACGATCTTCTCATTCTGTCGTTCAGTTACGATGGCGAGCAGCTCTTTGATCTGGAGAGTGTTAGGAGAATTATTTTGGCTTTTGTCGAGAAGGAAAAGAGTGTGGCTGTGTTCAATGGCGTCTTCCAGGAGGTTTGTTCCGCACCGATGGAGAGAGTTGCCAAGATGGTCGATGCATATTTAGGAGAAATTGCGATATACAGTGAACTCAGCATCTCGAAGTTCAATGCGATCGCGACCCTCTTGCCTAAGGCAGCTAGAAAGGTCGATGACGATCTGTACCGAGCAATCGATATATACTTCAAGGTAAGCAATACAATAATGAGGACTGGTCTGCAATTTCAGAAGTACCTTTTTTGCTTTCTCATCAAAATTCAAAATATTGTTCAAATTTCAAAAGGTGGTGAAAAATTTATATATCAATCCACGTTTTAAGATTTGCATTTTATGTTAGTTTCGAATGTTCTGGATTTAAAAAAGTTAAAATACGTGAGTGATAAGATTTAAATTAAGCAAAACGTAAAAGTCAATCCAAACCAACTTTCTAGAGTTGCGTTGGTGTTGGGATTAGTGATTGAAGAGATTTCATCACGATTAATATGTTATTTGACAGTGAGCAATACCGAATTTGCAGGCCCATCCAAACCTTGATGAGATAGAGCGAGAGAAAGCATGCAGTGTGATGGACCCGCTGAAACTGTCGCACGAAGCTCGGCTTCATGCCTCGCAGAACAAGCGGTTACCCGTGCAGATCGTTCTGCACGCACTCTACTATGACCAGCTGAAGCTCAGGAGCCGAATGGACAACGGCGACGTACCTGATCCCATGGCAACAAGGAGCCAAGTGCTGGCTGATGTGTCATTGGTCAGGGAAAACGAAACCTTAAGGTCCGAGCTAATGACGATGAAGATGTACATCTCTGATATGCAGAACCCGAAGAGCCGAGGAACGACGTCCTCCAAGGGAGGCGCCAAAAAGACTACCTTCTTCTCTTCAATGACCAAGACACTCGGAAAGTTGAACCCATTCCGCCATGGGTCAAAAGACACTTCCAACATCGACGACATGGTGGATATTACGAAGCCAAGAAGGAGAAGGTTCTCCATCTCTTGATTTGTAGACGGCTTCTCTTCCGGTGCTTATATTGGTGTAGGTGTTCTGTTTCTGCTCCGATACAGGACCTTCCTTTTTGTGCTCTGATGGGGTCCTTTTTGTCTCGCATTTTTCTTCAGTCTCCTGGAATGCTGGGAGCTACTATGGCGTTTGTTAGTGTGTAAAAAATTGAATTTGTTGATTCTGTAGCGTGAGCATTTTATGTCAGCGATAGAAAAAAAAAGGTGTGTGCCATTATCTTAAAAGTGATTTATTCACTTTAATTTAGGCATCTTGCAGTCTGGTCTGTATCATATTCCCTGTAATTTCTGAAGAAAACTCCTACATATTCAACCTTGCAATGTCTGTAGCATCCGGGTTGCTTCTGATTGCTGGGTTGAGTCCTTGTGCCTGATGAAATTTTTCAACAGCTTTCAACTGTCAACTGTCAAGCTAAACTAGATGGACTACCGATGGCAGCATTCGTTTACCCAACTTTGTCCATGGTGTTACACATAAACCTCGAAGAGATAACTCTCGCCCACCACAAGGATGAAGAAGCCAGATCAACTTATTTTGCAAGAAACATCCCATTTCTGATGAATGAGAAGAAACATACTGACCAATCACTCTGGGGAGAGTTTCTTCAATTACAAGAAGAAAGAGTACTGCAAAAACATTGTGGCCTTCTATTACAGAACAATCTTTGTCTAATCGACATAGACGATAGAGATGGCAGAATGGATGCAGGCTTTTGGCCGGGAATTGGCTTGTCCTCCTCGAATATTTTGTACTTTTCTCTTTCCTACAAGTTGTTGGTTAAGTAAACCGCGTCCTCATCGTTTTCAGGTTCAAGTTTTCTAAGCCAATAGGAAGAATTCATTGTCTGTTTACATGTGAACCTACTGTCTCACTCTCACTTACTTCTCTCTTTGTGGTCACCTCAACTTAATGCATTGAAAGAATTGTCCGACGTATTAGAGAAATCTCACGTCGGAGAATTGATATGTTACGCAGTAGTTAATATATCCTAATTGATCCATAACTCATTAGCTTAAACTTTTGAGTGAAAGTGAATCCAATTGAATATGTTGACGAATTCAGATTTGAGCTCCCTCTTCGCAATCTTTCCGATCGAAGGTTTCGGGTATCAATACCAATAGTAGATTAGTGGGAATCAAGTAACCAACGAGGAGCCAATGGTAGACTCTATAATTATGTTTGGAGAAAGAAACGAGGGATGAAGTTGTAGATTAAGGGAAGCAGACCTAATACTGAGCTTACACTTATGGTACGCATAAATTAATATATCATAGTTGACCCATAACTCATTAGTTTAAGTTTTTAAGTGAAGATATGTCTAACCGGATATGTTGATGACTTCGGACTTCGGCTCCCTCTTGGCAATCTCCCAAGTGAAGGTATCGGGTTTCTGCTGCGCACTCCCAACGCGGGTCAACCTCTCATCCTTTATCTTTGGCGATCAACCACTCCTATCGTGCAATTGGTCTGCTTCGCATCATCATTTCAGTAAATTTCAGTGCCCCGACTAGGGCACCGTAATCTACATCATTCGAAAGTTTCGAGTGAGGTAAGGTTGGTCATCATCTTGTGGAAGCGCGCGGGCCGAAACAAGACTTGGCCGAACCTGGGTCCACCGCACTGGATTTGTCATGAATGGCTCACGTGATCGCGGGCCATTTTGAGACCTACGAGACCAACGGCTGCCATGGGTTCGGAGCCAAGCAAGTCTCATCCCATAAGTAGAGGCAACAAAATAGCGCCTTGTCCTGTATGTCTGTTGCCAGTGTCGGTGATCACTCCACATTTATGGGGGCTCCGGTTTTCGTCTTCGAAGTAATTACTCTCGACGATCCTCTCATTCCTTACTCAACCACCAAATTTTATTGCATAGTTCTATCAACTACATTTATACCGGACAGGGGGCCACAGGTGCAGCTCAGTTGCACCCATTCGCGATGCTGCATTCATCACTCTCACCTTCTTCTCTTCTACTTGACAGTGGACTATTTGTACCTTATGTTAAGCTGATATCGGCTTAACTTTTTTCGTTTTGACAATTAGATGAGAACTAGTCGACCTCGAGAGATTCCTCTCTATTGTTGCGACTTGTAGGTGTTAAATCAGCCATTTTCCGCCACTCGGCGGCTCGAGGTTGTCGTGCATCATTTAATAGAGTTTTCTTCACCAGTCTGGTCGAACCAGGCATTCGAGCGCTAGCTGAAACTAGATGTACATAGCACGTGTTTCTTAAATTACAGAGCAGCAGGAGTGGAAGTCAGTGAGTATGCATGGAGAAGAGGGAAATAACAGGGACTGCACGAGCAACCTTGGTGTGGGGGAGAAACTTGAAAGCAACAACTCGGACTCACTGCAGTGGTCCAAACGGCAGTTGACAGCGCTCGAGTACGGGCCGTCCCCAATTTGTCTCTGTTCAAAGTCAAATTGCCTCTGATATCGATACTTTATGCACGTAACAACACTCCTGAGTTAATGGAGAAAGTAATTCCAGAAAGTAATTCGTAAGCTGTATGTGTACAGTGTACACCGAGGACGCAATTAATGGAGCCGTTAATTGTACTTGGCACTGCACGTTTGAGTGAGTGATGAGGAAGGAGGAGAAGGGAAGAAGGCGAGGTGACAACTGGTGAGAAGGGGACAGGAGAGTTAAACTTCACTGCGTGGCTGTGTGGTCGTCGCTGGAAACTCAAGTGTGGCTCGGGCATGATAACAGGAGTAATGATGAAATCTACATGAGAGTCCAAAATGGCTTCCTGTCTGGACTGGAAAGTTGGGTCACCACCATCCAGCACTGATATGCTTCTTTAGGGGACCGTCCCATACATCCGTCCTGATCCTCAAATCCCGTCACCACCACCCTCCATTTTTGTTCGATAAAAAGATCGGCGCTATTTGCTCTGTGTGCGAGGTATGGGAGCAGAGGGGAGTCAATACAAGAAAGGGCTGTGGACAGATGAAGAAGACAGACTCTTGGTCGACCACATCAGGGTCCACGGAACTGGCCGCTGGAGCCGCATTCCTAAGCTCACAGGTGATTTTCATCATATCCTACTTCTTCTCCCACTGCTATTCTAACACGCTTCTGTTGCATTGCATGATTAATTTCACCTGTTTTCCTTTCGCTCTTCCACCGAAATAGGCCTCAACAGACACGGGAAGAGCTGCAGATTGAGGTGGCTAAACTACCTGAGCCCCGCCGTGAAGCGCGGCAAATTCTCCGAGGAGGAAGACGACCTCATCGTCAGACTCCATAAACTCCTCGGAAACAGGTTGCGTATGTTTCTCTCTCCTATGCATGGTCACATAATACACGACACTAGTAGGATGCTCGTTGGTTGCATGGATCTAAGACTCTATTTGTTATACTATTCTAAACTATAGCAAAATCAATATCCACATCGATCTAATTCTCGGCTCGAGTGCAATAAATGTTGTTCATCATATGAAAATTGCATTGAGTGAACACGTTGACTATATATTATGCAGGTGGTCACTGATAGCAGGAAGGGTTCCCGGAAGAACGGACAACCAAGTGAAGAACCACTGGAACACCCACTTGTGCAAGAAGCCCGGGACCGGAAATTTTAAACGTCCGAGAAGCGATCCCGATCCAGAGCGTCGAGCTCAAGAAGAAAAGGAAACCACCAATCTCTGTCATCCCAACAACGATTCAAATGCGGGTGATTGCGATCGGCTCCCTCACCGTCAGAGTACGATTAGTACCGGTAACACCAATGATGTCGAAGTCGGAGAGGTCTCGATGAAGGGGAAACTTCTCACGGGAAGTGAGGGTAGTGATGGTGACGAGTGGATGAGGGGTCACTTTTTTGGGCTTGGATCTCCCATGTTATCTAGTAACAGATACTTCGAGCTAAGTAACGTGGGGTTGGAAGACCTCGTTGTAGACAGTTACTCTCTCGACCAAATGTGGCAGCATCTCTAGTAGTTTCCTTTCAGCTTAGTTATCATTTGGTTCTAGGTTAACGTTTGATTTATGTACAGTTTCAAGTTTCTGTACAGATTTCAGTACGTAGAACTAGAATCCATTAACATCCATCGCCATTCAGGGACCCCATCCATTTAAAGATGGTAAACTTTCATTTCACTTATCTCATTGGCAAAATCATGACGCGTTATCATGAGAAATAACTAAGGAGTCGAGATGCATTTTGCATTGCAGTGCGCTGCGACATGTCCCCTCTGAAATAATGTATTCCATCACATAACGCGTATAGCACATGATATATGCGAAGTGGTTTTATTGCAACATAAAACATGTAAGGCATGTTGGTTTGATAGGAGTATTATTAAAACAGACGGTAGATGAAAAATGAAGCTTTGAATATATCGATGACATAGTGTAGTGGCCCGCTAGGTGGAAAGACTCGATGGAACGATCGCTTCGGGTTTCTTAGCCCAGTTAAAAATTTGATTGGGCCGCCGTAGGCCTCACCAAATTTAGGTGCACGAAGCGTTAATGCCATTGAGCCCAAACCCCAGTGCTCATCGCTTCAATTTAAATCGGACCATAATCTTGACGACTAGATTGGCATAATTCGAAAACGGGTGATTGATTTTGATGTGGGTCGGTTCAGCGGCCGGAACCTGAAACCTAACCTATAGGTGCCGGTTCCATAAACTTTGGAACTAGAAGCTGACCAAGTTATACTTTGGAACTGGTTCGAGGCCGATTGCCGAATCTACCAGAAAATTAGATTTGTTTAGTGAAAATTACATATTGATATTATATGTCATTATTCTAGCCTACAGTTAGTAAACTCTTGCTAGTCGCGCGGTTTAGATCGGGAGTTGCATTCTCCCTAATTGTATCCCACTAATTTTTTTTATCCTGTAATTTTTTTCCTCGTCCATGACCTTCAAGTGCTTAGATCAATGTTAGCAATCCCTGAGGTTCTTTTTTCTCGCGAACGAGCTCGAACATTGTCGATCAGGCCCGATCAATCCCAAATCAGCAATCCTGTCTTTGTGATATATGCTTCCTGCTTATTCTTGGAGAAATGAAACTTTGGTAAAGAACAGAACACCGACACCGCTCTTGTCATGAAATACCTCCGGCTCATCGTCTTGAGCCTTGATTAGTTCGAGAACAGGAAAGAAAGCCGCGGTCAATTTTAGCATCTACATGAAGATGTGTTATTCGTCAATTCGAGGACATATAACACCGTCCACACCAAAGAGAAAACTTATGGAAACGGGGATCGGATAAAGATGTCTGAAAGATTATACATATAGACCTGTCGATCCATCTCTTCGTCTTCTGGCTCACACAGAAAGAGCCGGCGAGAGTTTGAAGTCGAGATCCCAGAGCTCGAATGCTCCCTTGACGAAATCATAGTGTGCTCCCTTCACCGCGACGGTTTGCTTCACCGCGGCCTCTCTCACGAAAGGATAGGTCAGTAGATTGCCCAACGACACGTTCACTGCCTCCTGCACTCGAAAGAAACAGGTTTTTGAGTGAGTCGCGAGTTCACAGATCGATCTTCTGAACGTTGGTAGACCCTTAAGTGCGTATTCTGAATGCGAAGGATCAATGTTCTTTCAAAGGTTCGATAAATTTGACTTCAAAGTTTCAATAATGTTGTTCGTATTCCGAATAAATTATTCAGACTTTCGCTGACTGAAGAACTATAAGCTTTTGCATCCTAACCAAGGAGGTAGGTGCCTCTTGTTAAAGCTTTCAGGAATCACTTTCGGTTTACCTTCATCATATGGAAGTTGGAACAGACATAAATATGGTGATTATTGACAAACTCCTTGCCTGTGTGCACACGCGCGCGTGCATGAGAGAGAGAGAGAGAGAGTATAACCTTCTCGCAGTGAGCGCATTGCTCTGCAAAGGTCAAGCTGCTGTGATCCGATTTCACCTTGGTCTTGGCGGGCGCGCATATATTAACCCAATGTTCGATGAAATCACTGAAGAATCCATTTGCATTTCATAAGAATGAGAAATAGTCACAGTCAGCAACTGATAAATCTTGATCCAGCAAGCCTATCCTGATATTGAATGCACAAGCAGCTATTTGGCAAATCAAGGAGCCTCTTTTAAACACATTTGTCTATGGATTTGTATGTAAATTTTTCACTAGCTAGTGTAGTTCGTTCACCTATTTAGGATAGAAAAAATAGAGTTGTATTACCTAGACGTGGCTCCATCGTCCGGGATGGACATGAGGCCCTTTATTCCTCCACAGCAGCTATGTCCGATCACCACAATGTTCTCCACCTAAAGTACATTTAATTCCACACTTTCCAAACTTCTTATTCGAATCGCAAACCATGACAGACGCAGAAACTTGGAATAAACAAAACCTCGCGAAAGTTTTAACATGAGGGGGGAGCGAGGGGGAAGAAACAAAGAAAGTTCACATGGAATCCATAGATTATTATATAAAGTCTCGGATGCCAACCCCTTCGGTACGTCATCGAACAGAACATTGAGTAAAATTTTAATGCTCCGGGTGCCTGATTGCCTAAATTTCACAAGATTTATTCCGAAGCCTATGAAAAGGAATCAATGAACTTCTATTTACATGCAAGGGCAAAAAAAGGGGAGCAACCAAGCCAACTTGTCTAGGCTATAAAGCATTATGCCGGAATCTCTCTCCTTTTCTTCTAGTTTCCTATCAGGAAAATAAAAGGGTTTCGAGTCATCGACAATCGTTTAGCTTGTGGTCGGAAGTGCCGCAAAAAAGCGGGGGACACTCTAATGACTTGACGCCGAGAATCATCCACCACCACAAACAGGAAAACCCAAAAAGATTGGAAAAACAATGAGGGAAAGGAAAAGAAAAGAAAGAGAAAGAAGCATCCATTGACGATGTCAAGAGCATAAGTGACGATAAAGTTGATGTTAAGAAAAGAGAGGAAGCTCTTTATTGTATTCACCTTCAGATGCAGGACCGCATATTCAATGGCAGCCCCCACTCCCGAGTACTTGGTCTGCAACAGTTTAACCCAGGAGTCAAAAACAGGGTAGCCACTACATGTGCAATCAATAAGAATTGATAACCAAGGAATTATAGAATGAGAGGTACAGAGGCAGGTCCTTCCAGTTTCAGGACAAACCTGGTCGTATGGAGGTACCATGTTGGCAATGTTTCGCACCATGAACGCTTCTCCTGGTTGGAAGTCGAGGATATGCGACGGGCACACCCTCGAGTCCGAGCACGCGAACACCAAGAACTGCACTCACGACATCCGCACGAGTGAAAGGAAATCCCACGAGCTAAGCTCAACCGACGATTCTCGAAATAAAATGGGCTGTTTCACAGTTGACTTCCATCCTCATTATTCAATGATTCGATAGATTTTAAACGGTGATCGCTCGAAAAATGAACTATTTCTTGATCGGGACTAAAACTAGTTTCTTAATCCGTATATTACTCGTATGTTAGATGGCTTCTGCTACAATTTGTCTCATCACGTGGTTGGAGATTCCATCAAAGCAACTATCAATAGGAAAAGGTATCATTTGGACCGAGTACAAACCTTAGGACTCTGTCCCTTTGCAAGCTCGCCAAACAAAGCAGGATTCTTCCTGAAAAATAAGGCAAAAAAAAAAAAAAGGGCTCATACCATCAAGGCATCAATGCAAGAGACATAATTAAAAAATTCTTTCTGTGTCATTTTCTTACGCAAGTGACAATCTTTTCTTTTAAGGTCATGTACATGTCATTTCTTGAATAACGTGCAGATGAGATGCTCGAAAAGGTTCACAAACTAAGCGACCATCTTCACTTTTAAGGTCATGTACATGCCATTTGCTGAATTATAAAAAGGTGCACAAACTACTTTCCAGCGACAATCAACAACAATCGAAAACAAACTGAGCATATTCGAAGAGACCGGGGAAAACGATGCTTCCACTCTGTCCCGACTTACTCGAATTTCTCTTTCTTGAAGCGGACGAACCCGGACTTGATCCTCTCGACCGGGTCGAACCCGTTTTCGGCGGCCACCAGCTCCGCCGTTATCTGCTTGACCTTGGCTGCCGCGACGCCTTGGAGCTCGCACTTGTCGCTGAAATCGAGGAACCACCGACGACAGCCGTCGGATCGTCATCATCAGTGCCATCATCATTCACCGGCCCGTTAAAAAGAGGAACGGGAAAAAAAGGGCGGTTCGAAAGGGCGCGACACCGGACGGGGGCCTAACGGTGGGTCCGCGCCACAAGGCTCGGAACTACCACAAAGCGCGTGGGGCGCGAGTAATTTCCGACAAGAACTGCTTGTCGTGGGGCGTGAGATCGTAAAATGACGCTTAAGGACAGCTTTCACAGGTCTAATAACGATGGAGATAGAGAGAGAGAGAGAGTTGGGGCTCGGGAAATGAAGCGTCGTTCGCACCTGAGAATCTTCGACAGCTCTGCGATAGCCTCCTCGTACTTGTCGTTCGCCATGTCGTCCTTCTGCGAACACCATCGGGAAAAAAACAAAGTCAAACGAGAGTCCCGCGTAATTCCGGTCGTCGCTAAACGCTACTACTACCACGAACGAACGCGATCCGATCATGCACAGGACTCGATCGTCAGGCACTGAACACGGATTGCCAAGAAACGATCACGATCGATCAGAGAGAGAGATCGAAGCTTCGTCACAAGCCTCCCTCCGTTTTAGGATCGACGATCGCAATCCGGGAGAACCCAGCATGCAGAACACAAGAAACGAAAAGGCACGCACACGAAGCGGGAAAAGGGTCAAAGAAAAAGGGGAGGGGGGGTATCGAACTCGAGTGGAGCTATGAACAGGAACGACAGGGGAAAGCAGAACAGTCGCGGAGCAAAAGGGGCGGGCAGCAGCAGCATCCGGACGAACCTTTGCCTGCGAGATTCCGCGGAAGCTGGGGCGCTTCTGAAATTCGGAGGAGAACGAAAACCACTACCAAATCTCTCTCCCGAAAGCTCTCCTTTCCTTTTGGGGAGCACGGCACGCACGCAGACACACAACTGCTGCCACCCGCATCTTTTCGCACTCCATTTATAGGAGGGGGTGGCCGACCCACGGGCACCTTGGACCACCACCCGTGATTAAACCCGTAATTAGGCGTTTTATTTTTGTTACAGATTTATTTTCTCAACTGGGTTTATGGTTATTAAACCAGATTGATTAAAAGAAATGATTCTCTTTGGGGAACCCTGAAGATAAAATAAAACCAATGATGTACGCGACTGTTTGACCGGTGGTAACGTTGGCGTAAGCCGACGCAGGAAGACGGGGGGCGTGCACTGTGCAGTGTTGAGTAGCGGTGACATTGAAATTTTGGAGGTGTGTGTTGGATCCATTGATCGAGCAGTGCCGCACATGGAAATTGAAAGAGACGGGGCCCTACCATTTCCCTAGAGCTTTGATTAGTTCATTGACTACGACGGGCACTAATCGTCGATATTGGAATATTGATGGATCCCATATCATGTGGAACGCCAATAAGATGCAAACGGATCTTATCTATCGATGGAGAACCGTGGGAGAATCGAGGATCGGGGAGTCCGGGACTTGGGGAGCTTATCGCCGAGCCCTAGTTTGTCCATAATGAGCTGTCCCGACTAATCAGACCTTTTATTCGTATCTTCTGGCCTATTTTTTCATCATCCAATTCCGATAATCGGGATTGGTCACATTATCGGTGGAGCTTGTAATGCCATCGGCGGTTGAAGTAGTTTCTGTACTGGCTAAAATTTCTGGTCGCTTAACATGATCTCCACCACGTCCTCTAGCTTCTTGCGCGGTTTGGGGTTCTCCACTACGTAATCTCCTAAGATTTGCAAATTATAAGTCTATACTACCCACTCGTTAGAGCCACCGAGTGGATTGAGTACATGCAGCAATTGACCATTTTGCTCTAAGTTTAGGACTATGTAGATTCTACAACCAAGAGTAGATCATATTGTCGCCAAGGGCTAAATTTTCTGTTGAATTTGTATGGTCAAAGGAGTCCATTGGACTGAGCCAAGAACGGGATTGGAACAGAGAATCGAAGATCGAACCAGGGATATTTATTCGGAATGTTCGTAAAAAAAGCGATGAGTTTTCCTTATGGTCACTTACAATATTTGGATTTACCGTTAGATTTCGTATTAATTGTAATTAACATCTCAATAAATTCAATATATATATATATAACGCCGTGTATTCAGTAAAACGCGTCAGGAGAGTGGCTAACGAGATTCCAACGTGATTCGCGGTTTTGTAAAGATTAAATTTTGATTTGAGGAAGCACACCGGGACGTGGGCCAAGCCTTCAAGGATGCTTCCACGGAAAAAAGTCAAAAAGTAGGAAAGGATGGACCATGGCGTTGGCGGCCACGTGTTGAACCAGATCGGATAGGATATGAAAAATGATTTTAATGTATGGTCTTGTGAGGGATCCAAGAGGCTGTCCAACCATGATTTAACGGGCTAATTTCAAAAAATCAACTTTACTTTAGATGATAATTTTGGCAGGAACTTTCTTTTATCTCAATAAAAAGCACCAATTTTTACTCGAGTCCCGAATCTGGCTCCGGTGATGTGAGAATTTTTAATTATTCGGGCTAGATTTGAGATTTAAGTGAAAGTTTGTGATTTTTTATGATACAAAAAAAAAGTTCGGTCCAAAATTATCACTCAAGGTAAAGTCGGTATTTTTTTTTTTTTTTGGAATTAGGCCTGATTTGATGTATACTCGGAAATTAATTATAACCATAGTAAATAAACCAGCTTGGCTAATAAAAAGAAAATATTAGGAAAGCTGGTCATAAAACAGATGCTTAAGAAGGGTTGCTGCAATGGCTAGCGCGTCGAAGCGTTCAGAAGTTGGTTTGGTCAAATTCAAAGCTAAGCGACTCCTCCATCGCCAGCTCTAGAAAGTCTAGATGGCAGATGCTGACTTTTGTTGGTTTTTGACCCGTGCGAATCAGTTCATGAACACGCCAGGAAAGATAAATTAAACTACACTAATCACTGTTGACCATCTTGAGAGGGAGACCAAAGCCAATTTGATTTCGAGGATCCGCTTACGTTTTTTTGCTTTCGGCAATTAACCGGGAAACTCGAGTGTTACAGTTGTCCTACATCGGTTGTGAAAGGGATTGGTAGTCAATTTATAAATATGAGAAAAAGCCTTACACTGATATCAGAGCCAGATTATCACCAAATCTAAACCCAATTATCACACAAGAGAGTTACGGATTGTGTGAGGGAGAGATCCTTGTGGAAGGGGCTGGTCGTCACTCATCACTTTATAAATGTGAGGTCCAAGACCACCCAACATCAAGCTCGGTCGATCATGTACATGTGTTAAAATTCGACTGAAAAAACCTAGCTGTAACACCATGTTAGAAAGTCTAAATAAGTTTATAGATGAAGGGAGACTGCGTGTATATAAAGAGCATACAAACCCCATTGATGGACGACGCGGGATATTTCAACAATGATTACAGGCCTATAGAGTATATTAGCGAATTAGAGCCGAATTCAACGTCGGCCGAGCCGATCTCGAACATTGGCTTAGGCAAAACTCGAGCTATTCGTCTCGGTTCGCTTGCCCCCCCCCTCGAAGATCGGGGACGGAAGTAGAAGTTACGGCAGACAAAGCATGTGCATCGGATTGATCGGAACCTAGGAAAACTAGTAAACTATGCATTGCCGTGTGATCTACGGACTCAATCCATGTCCCTTTTCTTCAATTCACATCCAAATTAAAATAACAGGAGTGTGAAAGGGACGGTGGTCTCTCGACTGGGACTTTCCAATACCGGGCACCGTTAACCAAAGTCCACTAAAATGACCCCAAAAACAAAAGCCAAAAAAGTATTTTAATGCATTTATAGGAAATTTTCAAGTCCGGACCAATGGAATGTTGGCCCCCATAACTTTCGATTTGGGAACACGATAGGAATTGGGATTGGCTTCTGGTCACGAGCAAAGGGTCATGTCGAGACTACCGCATGAAGGGACACAGAAGGAAAACGACGTTGTTCCCTTGAAAACTTCAGCCAATCGAGGATCGGATGGGGTTGGGTTGCCAACGAGATAATTATCCAAAAAATCCTGAACTTAATATACGGTAAGTTATTAAGTCATAAATTTTTTAATTGAGCCAATTCGGTTTTACACCAATTATCTAGATATTTTGATCGGAAGAATTATATTGGCAAATCGTTAAAAAGTTTATAATTAAATTAGCTCAATTGAAAGATTCGAGATTGAATTGGCTTCCGTACAGCAGGATTAAGACTTTTTGGATAATTTTCCCGAATGCTAAACCAGAGCCGTGAGCCAAATCTAGACAGAAAAAATTAAAAAAACAATCTGGCTGGCCAATAGATTATGATAGCCAATGCCCCCCAAGTGCCAAGTTGATCCACGAGCATGGCCATAGTTTGACCTGTCTAGATGAGCCCCATTGATTGCCTCAAAGGTCCAATTTGGGCATGTGTTTTTCCTAAATTATCCACTTTCTTCAATTATTATTGGAAACAGATGGGAACTTCGAGCGGTGGTTCATCTGAGACAGGCTTCAGCTCAGGGAGTTTTGGGGAGACAAATTGTCGTCCTCGATTCGACTTCTGGCCTTGGGGCTGCTTCTAGAGACGAGATTTGGTCGCCGCTAGCTCGTCCTCCGCCTCAGTATAATACGCATCTCCATGAATCTAAACCGGCCTGTTCTTTCTATCACCCGTTTTAAAAAAGAGAAAGAGCACGCTGCCTTAGGGTTCTGCAGCAAAAGAGTTCAAGAATCCTAATCTAATCAACCAGATTTAGAACCTCAAATCTGATGAGCATGGAAAGTCTTGATAGCTAATGATGCTGTCGACATCGACAAACTTTTGGTATTATCCGATGGGATATTCCCCATCTGGGTCGAACCCGGAACCAAGTAAGTAACGGAAGTGGCGGATCAAGAGCTCTCAAGGAAGGAGGCCGGCGAATGCAACGATCGAAAACTCATTGCATTCCTACTCGAAAAGTAAAGCTGATTTCGATCGATTACGACGATTCATTAAGCATTTCGCTTTAATGGGAACAAGTAGACGCGTTTTTTTTTATTTCATTTTTCTATTTACCAATACGTTTTAATTCCTCTCGGGGCCATGTCCGCTTGGGTTGCGAATAGTAAGAGGACGTACCGTGACGCGGTCCTCTGTACAGCAGCACAGCAGCATACACTTGCTGAATTTGCCGGCCATGCTTCGCTCCCGGTCCCGCCCTCCTTGTACGTAGCTGGATCAATGGCATGCTGGTTAGTTGGTTGCTCATTAGAACACGCAATCGTGTAGCTAGTAAGCAATGAAGTTGTACTATTTGGAATTTGGGATTAAACGGAAGGTACACAATTGCCAAAACGTAATTGTACACCTGCTTGTTCCAATGCTCGAAAACTGTTCCAAGTCTAATCTAACTTCTAAAATATGTCTTTTCTCGATTAAATATCATGCCATGTAGAATGTTAACAACATGGGATTTATGACAAGATCAATGCCTAACAAATCAACCACACTAGTCGCGGCAGATTCCTACTTTTGCATGGAACGCCATAGTTATAATACATGTACACACATAATGACGTAATTCGATAGAAACAGCTATCCATATACACTAACGGTAAGTATTCTAGGATCTTCAAGAGAAAGGGAAAGAGAATAAGTAAAGACTACATGTTTACTCAATTGGCTTCTTTTACTTTACACTGTATTAGGGAAGGATATTTATACTCGAATAATATGCATAGGAAATGAAATTAGCTATATTTGAGAATAACGAAATATCAAAAAATAACACTAATTTTTAATAATATCTTTGAAAACGGAAATCTCTAATCTCCATAAATCTCGAGTTTTTGCATCGTCTTCTCCACTCTCTAGTGAGAGAGAGAGAGAGAGAGAGAGAGGGTACCGTGGGATTTGAACTGCGGATGGGCCTTAGCAGAGTGCAAAAAAGAGTTGGAATTAAAAGGGAGAGATACTTTCTTCGCTGGTGCGGGGATGGTGAACTGAAGACAAGACGAACGAATGTGAGAGAGAGATAGAGCATTAGACAGTAGACATGGACGACAGAACGAGAAGGGCCCAATTCCTAAATTTCCTTCCTTATCTTCTGTCTGCTCTCCTTTTGGGAATGGGATGGTTGTCGTGCCATGACTTTGTCTCATAGTCACGGGGATAGACAGATGAGATAAGGAAGGAGGGCCTCCCTTCCCTTCTTCTTCTTCACGTACCTGACGATGAGATGGGAATCCGATGGTGCAGATTCACTTGCATTTTCCTCCCAGTCCTTTTGCCCTTTTTTCCTTTCTGTGGTGGCTATTTTTCCCGTGTTTCATCTTCGTATATTCACACCATTGTAGTTGCTCCACGTATATTGGACCATGAAACTCACTATAAGTGCGTTTGGTTCGGCATTTAGAGAAAGCCTTTGGCCAAATGTAAAGGCCGAAATGCAAGACCGGTAAACTATAATTAAAAAGTTCTTTTTAGAGAATGCAAGCATGTTTGGTAAAACATCGTGGAAAGCAGCAAAGGATTACAACCAAGGTCAACAAGGATTACACTCCTCAAACGTCACGAAAAGCAGCGGAGGAACAATTGCTGAAAAACGGAAATTACAATCCTCAAACGTCCTAGAAAGTCCGAAGTATGAGCTTGAACAAGCAATTCCCTTCTTAGGCCATATCCGTCCATTTGGGCTTTACTTTCTTTGAGACAAATAGCAATTGTTTGCTTTTTATTCTTCCGTCACACCTTTAAATATTATCTAATTTAAGAAATTATGAAGACATCATATACAGATCTGATACTTGCGTGTTGTGAAAGTTCCATGTGCTCTTGTTAGGTAAGTTCCATGTGCTCTTCTTAGGTAAAATTCTACTTTTCGCTCTTGAATTCCGTACGTTTTTCTTTCCTTGTGAAAGGCTTCAAACCTTTAATTTGTCTAACCAAATACTTGGATTTAAATAAAATATCCCAATTAATTCCCCTCGTGCACTAATTTCGATCAATCCAAGCTAACGAGGTTGTCGGACCATATGGCAATTTGATGTGCAACTTCAATGGACAGGCACTGTACCTCGATCCAAGAGGCAACTTCCTCTCCAGGACTTCGAAAAGGTACTTCTGGAACACCAATAGGCAAAAAATGAAAAGAACAGGGAATTATATCCTATATTTCATTTTATTCCTATGGAGTTCGAACGATCTGTGGAGTATTATGCATCAAATTTTCGATATTCCGCTGTAAGAAAATTTTTCCTACAAACTTGCATTGCCTAAATTTTCTTTTCCTCAAGTGTCATTTTCCATTGTGATTTATTCACCGTGGCAAAATTTTTTAGATGTCATACTCCACGTGGTGGTCCGATGGTTATTATGCGACTCAAATCAACCGATATTGATGCAAAAAGGGCTTGAACATTTACACGAGGTCAAAAACTAAATTAAGCAAATTAAAAGTTCGAGGATTTGATCGGAAAAAGCACATAAGTTAAAAGATTGAAATGTATGGTTTTATCTAAAACAAAATCAAGGGTTCGAAAGAAACTCCACGAGCAGGTGTTGAAAACCGCATAGGTTTTAACAATCTTTTGTATTGAGCAAAACATCATTTGACATTTTATTAATTGGGAATATAATGAAATGTCAAATGTGCCAATTTAGTCCTAAACCTATCATGCGGAGGCCAATTCAGTTTTAAACCTTTCAATTGTGCAAGTTTAGTTCTAAACATTTTGACGATTTGCCAATTTAGTCCTAAATACTTTTTCTAAGTCAATTTAATCCTAAACATTTTGAAGATTCACCACCCGCCTGGGTGGCGCTGCTGGAGCGCGCACTCTTCCTCTCGCAAAAGGTTGAGTATTCGAATCCCGGATGCCGCAGGGTGACTTAACCGGTGCACGTGTGTGGTGGCTAGCACGTGTCGCCCCCAGGGTTTACCTCCCGGTTGTCGGCCGTGCGGGGGTTCCCTGGGTCAAAAAAAAAAAACATTTTGAAGATTCATTAATTTAGCCATAGACCAATTATAAGGATATTTGGTCGGATAATTGAAAGGTTTAGGATTAATTGATAAATCGTTGAAAGGTTTAGGACTAAAGATTAAATTGGCACAATTAAAAAGTTTAAAACTGAATTAGCTTCCGTAAAATATGTTAGGACTTTTTGGACAATTTTTCCTTTATTAATAATTAGTTGGTGCTTGAAGATAAGTCAACTGCATTCGTCGGCCCACCTCTTTGTAGTCCACACAGTGGAGGCACTTGGCAAGTCATTATCAGTCGTCCGAACTTTGGTATAAAGATTACATGAATTTTGATAACAGATCGTATGTATGTAACTATAAAATTCAGCATGAATTCCTTTTGACTCGATGATATGTCAATTTTGGTATCAGACATCCTGACTTTGGTCTAAAGGTTACATGAATTTTGATAACAGATCATATGTATGTAACTATAAAATTCAGCATGAAATCCTTTGAATCGATGATATGTGAATGAAATCTTAAAGAGCACCCATGTACATGTCACCATTCGACGATGGATATGTTAAAAAACTGCTCATAACGACGGTGAGTATAGCAAAAATGTAAGAAAACATTAGAATTCCAAAATTATCATTTTTTTCAGGTTTTTCATGATTAATAAATTATAGTGAAATTCTTTGTTGAGAATATTTGATAGGAAAAAATCCATAAAAACCCCGAATTATGCATACCGTAACACATTTACCTATAATTATGTTATATTATATAGTTATATAATTATATTTTTTACTTAATATAAAAAATTCTATAAACATTTTTTGGTGATATCAAAAACTCCAAATCATGTTAATTGCGACATATATACCCTAAATTTTTTTCCCGTGACATTAAAAACCCCAAATTTATACTTATATGACATATTTACCCTCTAATGATTTTTCAGTTAAAACAACATCGTTTTTCTATGTCAACATTTTAACTTTTGTGGAGGGTAAATGTGTTACACAAAAGTTTAGATTTTTAGTCTAACATAAAAAAGTTTAAGATAAATATGTCTATGTAAGCATTAATTCAAGGTTTTTGATGGGGTTTAGCCCTGTTTGGATAAGTGCCCGGTCCGATTATGGAAAGCACTACGGTAAGAAAAAGAAAAAGAAGAAAAAAAATTAGTTAAAAAAGAGATAATTGTTTCGCGCTCCATGCCTGTTCATCTTCTGTCTCAGGATCGCTCGATCAATTAATTCATCCGACAGGTAAGCCTCGCGCTATCTCCGAATCTGCCGGTGAGAATCTGTTTGTCCGAGCTCTTATCGAGTTATTACACGTTGGTTTCAAATCAATCGTTAACTGCCCCCATTTGATTCAACTGAATCTGTTTTGAACAGTACTTGTTTTGCTTTTCTGATGTTGCTTGACCGCTTGCTGGGACTTATCTCTGTGTTCTTGTCTTGAAGTGCCCCGAATATGGCGGAGGACTTGGCACCTCGTTCTGGGGTGTTGTCGTCTTGTTTCTTTTTCTGTCTCTTGGGTTTAGCTGACTTCGTTCTGTTCTGTTTGTTTGCTCATAGCTATAATTGTATAGTACTCTTTGTATGTATGTCTCCGATGAAAAGCTATGCAGGATGATCATGCCGTCACAAGTGAAATCTGTATTCCGTTACTTTTGAAGTTGCATAATTTCTTCTTGACATCTTGTTTTATATATAAACGAATTCGACGATGGATGATCATTCGCACCTAGCTGCCTCGAGTGCTTTTTCTCGAAATCGTGTTGAAGCGCCTATAAATATTTCTCCAAATGTTTTAATCACGTCATTAATGACTGGTGGTTTCTTTATCTGAGAATTCTGGTCCTGATTAGCAAAGAAAAGAACAGCAGCTGCTACTGACTTGCGATGCGCAATCTCAAAGAATTCATTGCTGTTTGGAATGTGAGAGGAGTGAAATCTTCTCAGTGTCATTGCCAATGATTTTGTGCAAAGTGCTCCTTCAGAATGACTGGTAGATGTGATTCAGTTTAAACAGATTAAGATTTCTTCAAGAACCATACTGGCTGTTGGAGGTATGGAAGTTTGCCGGTGCAAATGATTACTCTGAATCTATAAGTTTAGATGATTTTACAGCGTACTCTTTGTACCCTCGACTGATGCCACCACCCACATTTCCTCCAATGTTTTCGTTTCTAATCATGTCTTTACTCTAACACCCGCAAAAATTCTGTGTCTACCCACTTTCAAATTCAAATTGTAGTTTTCATGGATCATTGCATACTAATTGTTGTTTACGGTGCAGATTATCATGGATCCAACATATCAAAGGTAGGATTTTTGCCTAGTTGTAAAATTATCGTTTCACAAATGCTACCACGCCATAGCCCCCACAGACTCTTGTTTACCTGATGATGCAAGATTCTGTGTTGTTGCCTTGATTTGCAAATCACATTGAATTTTGGTCTCCCTAGAATGATGTGGTCATAGTCAATTAGTCAATAGAGAAGAGCTGAGCTGTGCTCCCATCATCAGCTGTTTCTAGAGTTAGTTCGCCCATTAATAAAGCTCTTTGTCTTTGCTCCAGAGAAACGGCTTACAAATGCCATCATGTTCATGTTCAGCCAGTGACTCAATCATTTCCTTCCCCTGCATTGTCCTTCATAGAAGACTCGACTGAAGAAAGACATCTTTCACGTGTTAAGGGTGCTGAGTGTGATAGTACACATTCAAATTCCCGGAAAAATTTACACATAGTAAGAAGCTAACAATGCTCGGGGTATTGATTTGATACTTATTTTCTAGTGGAATTCTTCTACAATGCTCTAATGCATTTGGCTTTTTTATTTTGGTTAAAGCTGTTTTCTAGTATTCTCAAAAATTGCGACAGCAGGTATCTGATAAGTCTTGTATTTTTGGTCCATAGTCAGCATGTCTGATGGAGGAATTCCTTGAACTTGCCAAGGAAAACACGGATAAGGATCTGGAAACCTGTGGCATCCTTGGTGCTTTCCTTGTAAGATTTACTCTTCAGTTCGAAAACAAGTAACACTTTATCTCATGATCATCATTTTAACATGGTTTAAGCTTTAAAGGATGCTTAAGATTATGACAATTTACAGAAAGATTCTTCTGTGGGTATCCCTATCTGTTCAACTGTTCAAAGCTTGCCACAAATTGAGGAAAAGGGGGGGGCGGCGGGGAGGGGGTTGTTGTGGTTGGGGGGGTGTCACCTTATCCGGTTCATATTGTAGACCTCACGGTGAGAAAAATATAGTTCTGCCGAATGCAGTATGTGCTTTTGAACGAAAAATACCTCTTGTCTGTCATGTAGAAGCCTTTGAACAAAACTCACAGTCAAAGTTTTCTCCAAGCATGTTTGTTGATGCTACACAAGAAATCCTTTCGTATAGCCCCAAATACGCCAAAAAAGTAGTTCTCATGGTTACTTTTGAAGTGACTACGTCGAACATCAGCAGTCCTCATCCTTTTGGTCATCTTCATTTTCTTTTTTCAGAAGTTGTGGCATTTTGTTATGATCTCCAGAAAGGGAATCTTTTTTCTTTTATAATTATACTTCCTTCTTCCCCAATTTTTTAATCCATCCAATTGACAATTCACGTTCTCTTTCTTTGTTCTTATGTATTTGATGGAGAAGGGAGATGCATTCAATGATTTGTCCAGAATGACCTGGAGATCAGAATTTGTTTTATCAGAGAAATAGCTTATTAAATTACAGCACTGAGTTTGCGGTAGACTTGACACTGGTCAGACCTACAATGCAAGAATCTGCACCTGAGATCCAAATTATTTTCACAAAGTAGATTATATGATTACTACGTCATGGTTTGTACAGGATAAGGGTATTCTATATGTAACGACTTTGATCATACCCAAACAGGAATCAACCTCTAATTCAGTGAGTTTACATAGGCCCATGTATTCATTTTCACGAAGTTCTACTTGACACTTGGAGGTCCAAATATCTGTAAATTGATTTCCTGATCTGAATGACAGTGTCTGGCTAAGAACGAGGAGGAAGTTTTTGCAATACAACATGAACACTCGCTAATTCCGGTTGGATGGATCCATGTATGAGATATGACTCTGACAGACCCTTTTTGCTTTTTCAATGCTGATTTGCTGACTCTGCTTAAGATTCTTATGCAATCTTCTTATTGACCTACATCTTTTTCTCAGTAAAGCTATCTTGATTTAGTTTTAGTTCTTCTATTGTACTTCGCTGATTCCTGCTTCAATGCATATGTGTGGATGGTAAATCATCAAAGATTTCTGGATTATCAGCAATATCCCTGCTTAAATACTTAGGACTTATTAACAATAGGGACGAGGAGTATATTAAGTAGCTAATATGAACAGATAAGGGAAGGCTATAGGGTTTGTACTGAACAAATAAGAAAGGTGAGGGTGCTAGCCCACTACTGCATAGTGAAGAAGTTGCCCAATGTGACCTATTTTCTATCTAAACCCTCATCTGATTTTGTTCTTTTCCCGCCTCACTGAGGTAGTAGGAAAACTTTTTCCGGTGTGCTAGTGGATGTTAAATTTCGTTGTTCCTCTGGATATGGATGAGTAAGACGTGGCGAGTTTCTGTTATCTCTCTCTTTACAAATATGTGTCCTGTTTGTTCTAAAGAAGAATCTATTTGTTTTTCAGACACATCCTTCTCAGAGCTGTTTCATGTCATCGATTGACTTGCACACACAGTATTCATATCAGGTACTTGATTCTCTCTGTCAAAATGCTAGTCAGGGAACTCTCATAGATGATATAAGGGGGACCGTAGGGATGACAGGCAAACCGAATGTAGAAAAGACAACACCAATCTCCCATCTTCAGCACCGCTTTGTTATTCGCTTACCTCCTGTCTTCAGGACAACTTACTATATCAATGTTATTAATTCCCTGCCAAAATCCTGATCTCATTATACTGTCTACGGTGAAAACCAATTTAGAATATTTTCAAGGCTAAGGCAAACAGTTCTATTCCTGCCAGCCTCTCTTGCAGGGATGATTTATGAAGTTTTGGCCATTCTGTTGTGACACTCTTTTAATGCCTTCTCACAGGTCATGGTACCTGAAGCATTTGCAATTGTTGTGGCTCCAACTGATGCATCGAGGTCTGCAAACATTTTGAGTTTCCATCGCTGCAATCTAATTCATGGATGTTTACTGCTAAGAAAAATAGCTTGAACTGACATACATTAGATGGATTACGATTTATAGCTGCTATGTGAGAATGGTTTTCATGCCTTGACTAGATATGGCAATGCATCTTTGGTAATCCAGCCAGCTGCAACTTATACACGATAAATGCATGCATACATGCTCGTCATCATTACCTTCTGTACACGTGTAACCTTGTTCATACCCTATTATATTCGTCACCTCGATGAGAGCCATGTGCATCTGCTTCAGAGTCATTAGTGTACGCATGATTGGGAGTGATTTATAGCTGCTATGTGCGAATGGTTTTCATGCCTAGACTAGATATGGAAATGCATGTTTGGCAATCCTCCCAGCTGCAACTTCTACACGATAAATGCATGCATACATGGTCGTCATCATTACCGTCTATGTTCATGCCCTATTATTTTCTTCATCTCGATGAGAGCCATGTGCATCTGCTTCAGAGTCATTAGTGTACGCATGATTAGGAGTGATTATTACATGCTCTGCGAGCATTGCTCCTGATGCATTTCAACAGTCGGATTCAATGTATAAGATCCTCATGCATCCAACAGTTGAGATGCACCGAAAGCAATGTTCAGGAGCACTGTAAGAATCCCAAGTTTTGACCTCTGCGAGCTCTATTCTTCGGAGAATGCAATATTCTGGGCGTTTTAAAAAACGCATGCATACATTACCATTTTCTAATATCCGCAAGTGGCTAATTCAATATATTCCAAGCCCTCCAACACGCATCTTTAAAATGCTGTGCATATTGCTTATGCTTCTCCTATTTGACAAATTTAAACTCTCCAGTCTCCCTGAGTATGGAGATATCTAGAAAGGGACAAGAATATTGTTTTCAAAGGTGCGATAAGAATGAATGATCTTGGAAGGGTGAAAGATTAACTTTTCATAGATAACGTACTTCTTCCACGTACGTATATGCACATTTGTTGATTTGTATATCACAGGTTATGAAATGAACCCGTGTTAATATCGAATTCAGGAGCTACGGCATGTTCCGGATATCCGAACCTGGTGGGATGAACGTCCTGAGAGAGTGCCGAGAAACGGGATTTCACACTCACAGGGAAACTGCCGACGGAGCTCCTATTTACGAGCACTGCGCTAATGTCTACACAAACTCGAATCTGAGATTCGAAGTTTTCGACTTGCGATAACGAAAGTATCGCTGACGAGGTCAACAGAACCAGCAAGCTAGCGGGTGCGGTCAAGCAGGAAAGTAATAGAAATCGTTCCTAGAATACATGGCGACGGATCTTGGCCAGCATGTAAGTACCTTCTTGTGCTTCGCTCTTTGGGCGAGCAGTGGAAACAACGAATTATCCTCGCGGACAATTAAGTTCAGCTGTACTTAGTTGACGCTTATTACTCTGTAATTCTAACTCTATTCAGGAATAAACATGAGTTGATTGTCTTATGATGCCTTTTGGGAATAGGCGCACGTTTTAATTTCCTTTCACACGCTGTGCAGGCCTTGACCTACAATCTTTCTTTTTGACCAAATAAAAAAAGACCTGGAAGCTTCCTCCGCCATTCTCGGTCGTCATCTGAAAGCTCCAACAAGGCGACTGAGAGGAGAGTTACCTAATCCCACTTCTCCTTTTGTGTCCTCTTAAAATAAACAACAATTGAACACCAAGAATCCAAAGAGAGTCCCTAGTTAAGAGGTTAATCAGGGATCTGCCGTGAATCCTCGGTGTTTGGTTACAAGGTAACGTCACCACAGAAGAGGAGCTGAAACTCCCATGGGAGCCTCCATGGTCTGTCCGTTTGATATATAAGGTCGGCGGGCTCCACATATGCGTTCCTTACACATCTTGTGCCCCCAGTTCTCGTGCATCTTTGTCTTCTCCGAAGAGAGGGAGTACCCTTTGGAAATTTTACATCCTGACGATCCTGAAATCCGGACGAGAACCGAGATAGAGCCTTTTAAGGACTTTTCTAGTACGGAAGACATATGGGTCTTCGCTAAAGTTGTGGCATTGTGATGACCATGAAGCATTTCCTCCTTTTAATATTGCTTTTGGTGGAGCCTCTCCAAAATGTGTTCTTGTATTGATAGCCATGATACGCACATTTTGATTTCCTTTCACACGCTGTGCAGGCCTTGACATTTTTCTTTTTGAAAAAAACAGGACCTTGAAGCTTCCTCCCCCATTCTCGGTCGTCACCTGAAAGTTCCAACAAGGTGACTGAGAGGAGGAGAGTCACCTAGACACCAAATCCCACTTCTCCTTTTGCGTCTGCCTAAAATACACAGGCACGAGCTGTAAAAGCGCAAGATATTTCCTCCTAAAATATCCTCACGACTCGCATTTCGTTTTCAGAACGTGAACAAAAGGAAACGACGGTGAGGGAGTCGCTTTCTCAGCAGGATAAGGATACAAACACAGCGAGAGGACAGGAAAATAGAGGGCGGCTTCAATGTTCTTTCCTTCCATCCGTGCTGACATTTCACGTGACCTCCTGTATATTTTGTTTTAAAGCGTCGGCGAATCATTGACTTAATCAATTGAGGAAAAGTGGGCAATTTTCAAAACAGCGTTTCAAATTTTAATGCAACTTCAATTGCTATGACTATTATCCAATCTTTGACTAATCGCCCAAAAGGGTTTTGTCCTGCGTGAACTATCGTTCTCAAATGATGAAGAATCAAACAGGTCACATTCCATTCCCAATCAAAGAAAGAAAAAACCAGACATGTCACATGCATTGTTTTGGCTTAACAGGGCCTACTTTCGGCAAGAGCCATCACTCTTGATGGAGGAAAGCATATCCAAATCGACTGTACATATCATCAACTGGGTATTGATGAAAGCAAGAACCAAAATCGAAACCACTACTGTTACGATCTGAACAACCCCGAATTCACTAATCGGGAATCGAAGTGAATTCGCCACCTATCCCTACGTCTACCTCTTAAAAATCTCCCATTTTTTTTTGGTCAAGTAAAATCTCCCATTTCAGGACAGGACTAATATCATCTCCCACAGGACTTTGATAACATCCTGTGCAGACAACATCGACTGAACAAATCTTTGCACGAATTGAATCAATGAATCGATGGTTTTGACCCCTAAATGCTAATCGGTAATCCACAGCGGTTTGCTCAAAATGGGTGCAGATTCTTGCTCAACCCATTGACGCTGGTGAAGAACCCGAGCCCGAGCAGGTCCCGCCGGTACGGCAAGTACGACTTGCGTTTCTCCGACTCCTTCACCGCCCTGCTCTTCACGTAGTGCATCTCGTGCGCCGACGGCGGCGCCGTCGCCTTGCCCTTCCCCTTCCCTTTCTTCGCCTCTTTCCTCTCGACGGCCTTCTCCGTCGGCCTCTTCGACTTCTCGGCGCCGCGGTCGCTCGGCTTCGCGTCGGCGGGAGGGCTCAGCATCACGACGGCGTCCCTGCCGTCGCTGTTGCTCCGCGGCAGCAAGTCCCGGAACCGCCACAGCTTCGAGGACCCGGTCGAGTTGCTCTTCCGGCAGCTCCCCGGCGAGGGCGGCGTCTCCTCCACGATCCTCGCCGTCCACTCGCAGTACGTCCCCCGCGGCTCCTCCGCCCCGCCGCCGGCGCCCGCCTCCGCGAACACCCTCTTCACCCGCGACGGCGAAGTGCCCGGCTCGGAGCCCGCCTCGGCGCCGGCGAACACGAGGCCCCGGTCGAAGAGGGGGAAGAAGGGGCGGATCCGGCCGTTGTCGAAGACGTCGTCGGCGGAGACCGGGGAGCCCCCCGGGTCGAGACAGGCGAACTCGAAGTCCGAATCCCCGTCGTCTTCCCCGTCTTCGCCGTCGAGCTGCTGCCGCGGCTGCTCTTGCTCCGCAGATACGGCAGTGGCACCGGACCCATCAGGCCCGGCCTCGGAGACGCCGAGCTTCGCCTCGAAATCCGCCGCCAGCTCGTCGAAAGGCTCCGACTTTGCGGCCGAGTAGTGGGCACTGAAGGAGGAGGGGGGAGACATGGGCATGGCCCGGTACACCTCCATCTTCTTGGTGCGCTGGTGATGGTGGCTTCTCTTGAAAAACTGGGCTGCCACTGCGGACACGATTCAGAGATGGGTGCTCGGGTCGGGTAGGCAGATAGAGAGAGAATGAGCGAGGTGGGATGGGAAGGAGGAGGGAATAAATACGAGTGGTTGGCGCGGTGGTGGGAGCGTTGTAGATACCTACGAAGTTCCAAGAAAGCTGTCTGAACGCGTACGGTCTGGTCCGTTCACAACGGGGAAGTTTCACTTCCTTGTGGCGGACGGAAACGAACGGAGGAAGCTTCCGAGCCCGGGGGGCTCCGAGTCCGCGCCCGGGAACCCGACCCGCTCGTGGGTCACGGCGGTCGCGCGTTTGTTTTGGGGAGGGGGGCGGTTTTGACTTTTCCTAGCGTTTTTTTTTTTTGGCTTCTTTTCCGGTCGGACGCCTCTTTTTTTGGGTATTGAGAAGAGACGATTTGTTCATTCCGTTTTTCGATTTTTGTTTTTAGGTGGAGCTCGTGGGATACGTGAGTGGTGGGAATGTTGGCCTTGCGACGCACATTTCCTTTTCTTTGGGTCTGACATCATGCGTGACGTCACCCGCGGTGTTGACCGATTTTTCGCGGTGGATGACATGGAAATCGCATGGACATTGGCCGAACAAGCCTCGAAGATAATAATAAATTTCCCTCTTTTGAATGGCAAGAACGTAGGTATGTTATTAACATGGGAAAACGACGCAATATGTAACGTGGTTTCGAACTTTTAATTTGTTCAACGTAATCTCTAAACTTTAACCTAATGTGCAATGTGGTCCTCGAACATTTTCATATAAACTAAATATATACTGAAGTTCAGAGACTGTTTGTGTCATTTTTCCTATTAACATTTTTACTATACTACACAATGTTTTTGTTGGTATTAACAAATGAATCGGTTACTTTCATTCCATTTTATATATTCAATCATTATTGCTCATCTGTCGCCAGAAAGAAAATTGGCACAATTAAATTTATTATCACTGCTTGATCTTTAGAGCTGTTTCGCGTAATGCGATACTTTCTTCCCGCTTCACGAGACCAACGTTGAATTGCCTTCAAGGTACTCTTTGCCCCTTCTCTTCCAATTCGCAGACATCAAATCCTTAGAAAATTAAGGGTTTCTTTTGAACTTGAATCTTACAGTTAATATATTACATGATGAATACAATACATTGCACTCGATTTCTCTATTCTATTCATTAAACTCGAGAGCCGTTTCTCGAAATCAAGCACCTAATTTGATTGACTTTTTTCACTCGACGAATTAAGCCGATGCCGAATCTTAGGAGCAGCGTCGTGAGCGACTAATTCCGAGGGATTGACGCGCTTAACAAATGTAAGCTATTATATTAGGTGCCGTGGCAAACACTAACCAACTTGCTATACTTGTGCACTTGTCAAGTTTCCAATTGGAAGTAATTTGCTGATTAGAAAAAATGTGGGCGGTTCCTTAATGTGCTTACAATTCTAGAAGTCGACACCGTTGACCCTTATTAACATTTGAAATTTCGCAGCTCAAATCCCGCTGGCATTTTGACATCGTCCTTCCTTAGCACAAAAGAAGTGAATTAGTCTATTCGAAGCATCCGAAATCAAACGTGTGGTCGGAGGAGGCAATGGTTCTAATTTGCGATGCAAGCAAGCCCGTCATGCCCCAAACGCATTGCCCTCCCTTTGGGCACGATTGATAAGCAAATCCACCAAATAATCTTTTGGTTTTGAATGATCAAATTCCATTAAAGATAGAAATCATTTTCAATCGCTTCAATAGACTAAAACCTTTAATCGGGAACGAGATGCCACTAGGCCTCTTTTGTTGAAGACGGATTTTGGGCACACCCCGTAGATTCGAGCCCAAGGGTCCTAAATCAGGGGCATTGTAGGGGTCTCGGGTCCCCAAACCTAACGACAGGGATCCTAGGGTCTGGTCTAGGCATGGAGGTCCCGGTCTAAGCGATAGGGACATAGGTCCCCGATCGGGTTGAGGCGTCACGTTCAGCCTCGAGTGATGTGTCCAATCCCTCGGCGATGCGGGTCCGAGCGCCGGCTCCCGAGTTCGAACAGGCGAGTACACGTTTGATCCAGACCCGCTGAACGAACCGGATCGCCATCCTCTGCGAAGCTCACGGCATCCGATGGCTAAAGCCGGGGCCCCGAAGAGATGACGTGGCATGGGAAGAAATCAAAGGGGAAGGGAAACAAATGAAAAGGGGCGGGAAACGTAATGGAGCCGCAGTAGGTTGCGCGGTAACCCGAGATTCAAGGAGACAGCGTTCATTCTTCTCGATACAAAAAAAAAAAAAGGAGAAAGAAAAAAGAACAAACAAAACAAAAAAGGAACGGTAGTTAGTTAGTTGGTCTCAACAGAATCGTGCCTACCAGTAACCCTCACCACTTCCCAAAAAAAACAAATGAAAAAATGGGACATTTTGCATTACATATTGTTCACGTCGACGAGCCATTACCATCTCTCTGTCTCCCTAAATTAAACCATTTCTCTCAGAATTTCTAGGGTCGGGAACCTCACCTTCATTCGATCATCGTCTCGCCAAAATCTCTCTCTTGCGCCTGGGAATTCCGACCGGCATTGCTCCGCACCACCCCTGCAGGTTCCGTTTGATTCCCATGTCTGATCGTCTGCGCCGTTTCTCGCTTGTTCGAGGGTGGTGACGGCGGGCAGGATGATGATCCGCACGTCTGCATTGTACCCCATTTGATTTCGTGCGCTCTCTTGTTGGAAACCCGGAATTTGGGTACCTAAGTTTTTCCCGAGAGGGAAGGAAGAACAGATAGGAATAGAGAGAGAGAGAGAGAGAGAGAGAGAGAGAGAGAGAGAGAGAGAGAGAGAGAGAGAGAGAGAGAGGTGTGGGGGAAGGGAAGAACCGGATTAGGATCGCCATGACCGGAGCAGCACGGGACGGCGGTTCTGAACAGCCGCGGGGAAAGAAGTCAGTTTTTGGAGATTATGAGGCGTTCTGTTTGATAAAGCTGGACTGAAGAAACCGTCTGAATTCTTGGAAAAAGAAAGGAGATCATGTCTAGCTCAGGGACACCCGGTTCTTCGAATTCGACCTCGATCCAATCGAACACGACTTCGACCGGTGCCACTCCCATCTCTCTGCCGTCGCCACCGGCCTCTTCTTCCCCTCCATCTGCCAATGGCACCGACGGGTCATTAGTGGGTGCGCCGCCGCCGCCCAAATCGACTTCTCCGCCCGCTTCACCCCCGTCTCCACCGCCGCCTAGTTCCAACCCATCCGCACCTCCTTCCAATTCGAGCGCTTCACCTCCTAGTCCCCCGCCACCATCCAGTTCCCCACCGCCGCCCCCGGCACCTTCACAAACAACGCCGCCTCCTAAAGCTTCCCCGCCACCGGCACCTACATCTAATTCGGGTTCCTCGCCGCCTTCTCCACCGCCCCCACCTCCAACATCTCCCCCTCCCTCCCCTCAGCAATCCTCGACTCCATCCGGATCACCTCCACCTTCTGACCAGCTTTCACCTCCTCCGCCCCCTGCACCGGCGAGTGGGACAGGTGGAGTTCCATCTCCAGCTAACAGTCACCCTCCTCCGACTTCCAGCACCGGACCGTCTCCTCCGATAGCATCTAATTCGCCTCCACCACCTTCGGTTCCTACAGTTAGCGGGTCGCCACCCACCACAACGCCCAGTTCAACTCCCGCAACACAATCCGGGTCGGCACCTCCATCTCAAACATCTAGCAGACTTCCGGATTCCACCAGCAATTCCAGTTCAGGAGGATCAAGCACATCCTCAGGAAGCACTAAAACTGCCGTCGGCGTGGCAGTAGCTGGAGTTTTTGTTATCGCACTTATCGCTTTGGTTTTCTTAGTTAACAGGCGGAGAAAACGAAAGGAGGGCGCTTTTGCCTCGCAGTATGTCCCGCCCACTAACTTCGCACTGCAATCAGGTAAAAAGATCATTGGCATTTTTCTCTGATACTGAGTGCATGTTCATCCGGTTTTGATATTCTCCTTCTTACCCTCTTATGCAGATAAATATTACTATGGGCAGCAATCGCATATGATGGGTGTAAATGGCCATTCAGGTCCCTACTATGCGTCGCAAGGCCAGAACTCATCTATCGAAAACAGCTACGGGAGTCAGATGGGAGGGAACATGTACAACGGAGGTGGACCAGACTCCGATGTAATAACAAGTTCCAAGAGCTTCTTCACTTATGAAGAGTTGATGGAAATAACCAGTGGATTTTCTCGTCAAAATATCATTGGCGAGGGCGGCTTCGGGTGCGTTTACAAGGGTTGGCTACCGGATGGGAAAGTAGTTGCTGTCAAGCAGCTCAAGGCAGGCAGTGGACAGGGGGACAGGGAATTCAAGGCCGAAGTAGAGATTATCAGCAGGGTTCATCATCGGCATTTGGTGTCTTTGGTGGGCTATTCGATAGCCGAGAACCAGAGGCTGCTTATATACGAATTCGTCCCCAACAATACCCTTGAGCACCATTTGCACGGTCAGCAGAGTCTTGCCTTCCTTTCGTAGGATAAGATTTTCTTTCTCATTTTAATACTCATAAGCACACTGGTTTTTCACATCAGGGAAAGGATTGCCAGTTCTGGAATGGACCAAAAGAGTCAAGATCGCCCTAGGCTCTGCAAAGGGTCTGGCATACCTACATGAAGATTGTACGTATTTCACTTGTCATCTAGTGTTATCGCATATACCCCCTTCTCAGCTGACTCATAATGTCCAGGAACTCCTTAATTAATATATAGGCAAATTGAGGTGGAAAGAAGCATCTATTACACTGTACTAATCTATTCTATACCCATGCTAGCATACATCAGCCCCATTAAGGTGATGTATGGTAGTATGTGTGACTATTGAGTTTTTTGAAGTGCATAAAACCCTTCTTGATCTAGCATGTATAGGTCACGAATAATATCCTTAAAAGCTTAATGATAGCACATGTAATTATTCCTTTCCTCGTATCTTATGTTCTACAGGCCATCCAAAGATTATCCACCGAGACATTAAGTCGGCAAACATTCTGTTAGATGATGCCTTTGAAGCACAGGTAATTTATATGCTTCACTTGTCAAACCCTTTCTCTTAATACCAATATGTACTTTAACTAAGTTAACAGCTAGGGGGTTCTAATATGTTATCCTCTCAAACACAGGTAGCAGATTTTGGACTTGCCAAACTAACTAATGACGCTAATACTCATGTATCCACAAGAGTCATGGGGACATTTGGGTGAGTGTTGTTTGACAGATCGATAACATAAACGCATAGAGATCCCCAGTAATTTTTCATCTCAACTTCAGTACTCTTCTCTGTCGAATAATAATACTGGCTTATGGATAAGGATGCGTATGTGTTGCCAGGTACTTAACAGGAACTGATGTCTTATAGAGTAAATTGCGTATAACTGGGTAGAAGGATCTGACTATCAGGTTCTTGGCACCTTACATATGATATTTTTTAGAACTAAAAGAATTGTCAGCTCGCTGTTACCGCCTCTTCTATTTTTATTTTTCTCCAGAGGGTAAAAGACTGGATTTTTTGCCTTTTTTAATGATATCAGAATTCCAAAATCACCAATATGTTGAATGCCAGGATTCCTCAACTTTTTGTTCCGAATGTCAAGTGCAGTTTGCTCCATCAATAGAACATGAGTTGGGTTTCGTTACTTCTTTTGCTCCTTCTCCAATGTTTCGTTTTTGACTTACAGGTACCTGGCACCAGAGTATGCATCCAGCGGGAAACTGACAGATAGATCAGATGTATTCTCCTTTGGGGTTGTGCTTTTAGAGCTTATCACTGGCCGTAAACCTGTTGATGCAACTCAGCCTTTGGGTGACGAAAGTTTGGTTGAGTGGGTAAGACACTGCAGAAATTCCTGCTTTTCAGATTGTTTACAAGTGCCATGTTGTATCGTGGAAACAACGGGGATTTTGGTTTGGTCCTAGAGTAACTTTTGTGATATTTAGAGAACGTTAGTGGCTCTATCACGGATGGAGCTCCAATTTCCATTAATGACGAAAAAGTTGTTGGAGAAATCACATGCAATTCTCTTTTTATTAAGAAAATAGCAAACGAAGAAAGATGACGAGCAATTTAACTACGAGCACAAAGTACTGACCACTATGAATGAATGCTCTACAGTCAAATGACAAGTTGCTGATCTGATGATGGCAGGCTCGTCCATTGCTTATCCGAGCCCTTGAAACTGGGGACTTGAGCGAGCTAGTGGATCCACGGCTAGAGAAGAGTTATGTGGAGGGTGAAATGCTCAGAATGATTGAGGCAGCTGCAGCTTGTATACGCCATTCTGCTGCAAAGAGGCCTCGTATGGTTCAGGTAGTTGGAATGATGAACTCACCCTACACTATTTTAAATTGGTTTGCAGATTTTCAAGCAAAAGTGACTGATCATCAAAATTGTGCCGAGAGTTTGCTTCACTTGAGCTACTTTATTTGTGCAAATATGGTCTTACAGCGTTTTCTTTATCTAGCTATCTTTCACTTGAAATGTAATCTCCAGTGAAAAATATAGGCCCCTGTTGCGGATTCGAACAGCTAATCATGTGGCATTTTACTCAGGTTGTAAGAGCACTCGACAATGATGGCGACATGTCCGATCTAACAAATGGGGTGAAATATGGTCAGAGCACCATCTATGATTCAGGCCAGTATAATGAAGATATAATGAAATTCAGAAGGATGGCTCTTGGCAGCGGCGATAGCTCGGACTACGGACCTTTCAGTGGAGACTACAGCTCTAGAGTGGTTTCTGGGCCTCAAAAGATTCCGTGGAAGCCTCGGGACAGTTCAAGCGAGTTCACGAGTGGTGAATCCGAGACTCGAGCTATGAACCCACTAAGCTCAGAGAACCGATTTTCTGGGGCCCAAGGGGGTTACGGCGTGCGTAGGTTCGGTTGAAGGCGACAAGACATGCACACCTGTGCACATGAGCTCCTTCCCACCGAATATATCGAACATGCAGCAACAGTGGAAGGCCCCCGCTGAATGTAAGGCCTCTGCTCGATCTTCCCGTGAGATTAACGACCAGGACACCGATGTGTGATATGTTGTTTCATTTTGTTTCCCCAAATGACTGGCAGTGTCGGTCGGGGCACGGGAAACGTGTAGACTGTGAGTCGGATTCAAGAGACCCTTTTCGAGTGACAAAAGAAGCATGCACGATATTAGGAGTTCATCATGTTAATCCACGGGTACATTTGCTACAATAAGCTATTGAGAGTGACCCCATTGTGAATTTTTGCTAATTTTTCTGGACTAAGGAAGTGGGTGTCTGTTTATAGTTTCCAAGCAAGTTCTGGGATTGTGACCCTGTCTTGATTTAACTCGATGTTCAAAGAAAAAGTATTCCAGATTTGCTCATTACTCGCGTAACATGGGAATGAAAACTCTGATTCTAAACTTACTACTCGGAGCCTCTCGTTCCAACGAGTGCAGGGTAGACAGTTCCAAAGGCATCAAAGGGAAATCAATCAGTTCCTGGTAATGCTGTGAGCGAAACAATGCATTACCGAAAGATGTTGCTCCAGCTGAATCTTGAAGAAGAGGGAAGAACAAAGAAAACACATTCATTCGGACGCAACGCCTGATCATACGAAAACGTCGAATGGATCCGGGAATAGAGGGCATACGTGCAGAGAGTAGATATTCTGCTCAAATCCTCTGTTTTTCTCACTGATCATTGTCGACACTGATGAACAGTTCATTAAACTGGCGAGTCATTTCCTTGTGGAGATTATAAAGAGAAGGTGATCACTAAAGAGAGATTTGGTAAAGGAGTGCAAGACCCTTCTGTTTGCTTTGGTTTGGTTTGAAGGGATTCCAATGTTTGGTGCAATTTTATTAAACAGAATGCGGTGTCCACCTCTAAAAGGAATTGAGATTTCTCCGCCTCCATTCCTCATTCTTCATCAAATAACAAGATCGATAGTTGGTTAATATAAACATGAAATAATATATGTGATGAACAATACTTGATTATTCCGACTGTAGTTAAACAGTAATAGTTATAAATTATACTTAAGAAACAATTATAAATAGTAATCAACAAAAAGATTAGAATCATCATTTCATTCCATTCCATTCCATTCCATTCTACCGTACAAACTCAACATTGTAAAATCACAGACCTCGGTGATTAGGCCTAGGTCGATTGAGCTAAACGAAACACTGGGCTTAGACCTTGTCCAAGTGCTTCCATTTGAACTTCATTACAAGTCCGGCGGTCCACAAGCTCGCTCCGGCTTGCCCGAGTGAAATCGGCCCCAAGATGACTTTTGAATGGGCTTAGATAAGGCTATTTAGTTATAAGCCAACAACGCTGACTGAACCCGAGTCAAGCCTGATCCGGATCGAAGGTGTCGTGTATATATTTTTGGCAAGCTTGGGCAACAAGTTACGGTAGACTGGATCGGGTATGACGACTCGACAGGCCAAGGCCAAGAGGTCCACTCATCGTCCGGACGAGTTCGGACAGCGATTTGCGTTCTTTGGACTAGGTTGAAGCAATATTTTTCTCCTTTGATGAGTGGACTGGACAAAGAAATTTCCCTTCTTCCATTTATCCATATAACAAGAGAACAAGCTCTACAGAACTACAAGCAAACATTACAAGCATAGATCAGAGAAAAATTTCTGAAAGAACTAGGATCCATCACGAGACATGACAGATATATATATATATATATATATATATATATATATGAAGCTACGTATTCTCTCCTTCAATGTGTATACCAATACCATCATGGGCCGACCGTGGGCTCGCCATCATAACCATTAGAAGGCATCATCTTGCTTCCTTTCTTGAAGTCGAAGACAAACCCACCATCTAATCCTTGTTTGTTGTTGTTGTTTCCTTTGTACTCTCCATACCTGACCGGCCTATTGGCAGTTTTGATCTTCTTGTGATCGAACCCGAACTCGATATCGCTCTCTTTGGGGGGCCGACCGGTGGTGGCGGTCGCGTGTTTCTTGCTTGCTCCCTTGGGCTTCTCGTGGCGGCGTCGACCGCAGAACCGGCCGAGGCAGCAAGCCACGGCGGACACCAGGACTATCACGGCGAGCACTATGAAGACCGCCCCAAAAGATCCGTCGGAGTGGAGCCGGGACATGGGCGGCGGCTGCCCTGGGACGTTATAGGGGTACATCATGAGAGGCTGTTGGGTGGTGGTTGGCTGCTGTTGGGTGGGGATTGGCTGCTGCTGTAGTTGTGATGCCATGGTGCTGTGTGTGTGTGTGTGTGGGGGGGGGGGGTGTGGGGTGAATGTGTTGGGACTGAGAAGAGGAAAATGGAAGCGCTTGGGGCTGTGTGTTTATATGAGGACTAGTGCTAGAAGTGTCCAATCTGCTTTGTTCTTTGAGTGAAGGCAAGGAAGATTTATTACAAAAGCACTGCCTAGGACAAAGGGTGAAGTGCATGTGTCGAGTTGTATTTAAGTGTTTCTTTAATTTCTCTTTTTTGGGGTTTAAACAAAGAGAAGATACGTTCTTTAGGTAAAGCAGGAGCTAGGGATACAAAAGAGATCTCTTGGGTTTCTTTGCTGCGGAAGAAAGGGGAGGTGTAGTTGCTTGGAAAGGAGAGAAAGTGGGATTTTGGAAGCTTTATTTGTTCATAGAGCCAAACATTAGGCAATTGGCATGACTATGGAGACCTCCAAGACAGCTCTTTTTGACCATTATCTTTGAACGATTGTGGGAACAGGACAATGATTGATGTGCAGCCAAGAAACTTCAAAGACCCCTTTGTTAATGGTGAGCTAATGAGCGAGCATTTTTTCCAACTGGAGACACAAAGCATTTCAACATAAAGAAAGTGCTTTTTCACCCCCAACATTTAGCATTCAGCTGAACAGGTTTAGCTTTGTAGTCGCCGGAGGCAAGACGGGTTTATAGCTTTCGCCATTGATTTGTGCAGGTCGTCCCTCGTACTTCCTCGCGTAGATTCTGAAGAGGCGAAAAAAATCATCTTCGCCATAAAATGGGTGAACCTCCCTCTTCAAGACTCAACCTTCAATTTGCGGGAAAGGGAAAATGACACAAACAGTCCATGAACTTTGGCTCAATATGCAATGTGATCTCTTAACTTTTAATTTGTTCAATGTAGTTTTTGAACTTTAACTTAATGTTCAATTCGATCCTTGAACTTTTAATTTGTTCAATGTGGTCCATGGACTTTTGGTACATGTTCAATTTAGTCCCTGAACTATACGAAAATGTTTAATGTAGTCCCTGGACTTGAATTAATGAAAGGACTACATTGAACTTTTTCATATAATTCAGGGACTAAATTGAACATGTACCAGAAGTCCAGGGACCACATTCAACAAATTAAAAGTTCAAGGATCGAATTGAACATTAGGTTAAAGTTCAAAAACTACATTGAACAAATTAAAAGTTCAGGGATTAAATTGCACATTGGACCAAAGTTCAGGGACTGTTTGTGTCATTATCCCTGCGGAAACAGTAATGTCAAGGATACCAAAACAAAACGCGCGAGCGACATGACTATATTAACTACAGAGCTTAAGACAGATGATTATGTGACTGATTGCCCGAATCACATAGATTGAAACCGCCTGATCAAATAAACAGAAGCGAAGAAAGTCTTTTTACATGCAGCCGCCTTCTCATTTGAAAAGGATTGAACAGCGATAATTGTCCTGTATGATTGGATTGTCACGGGGATCTGTGAAAGAAAGCTTGGAATTGGTGCTGGACACAAATTTCCAATTCCCAAACAGGGAGGCTTACCAGAGGAGACATGATGGGGTCATGCTTTGGGGCTAATTGTGCTGTCTTTATTCCTTTCTTTTGCAAAGAGGATTCTCCCTGCTCCAGTTTTAAGTGCGTCTCTAAGGTGGGTGTCTCCTTCCTCCCTTTTGATGATTAGAGAGCCCTTGAAACCCATTTTCTTAGTCACTGCTATCATATAGCATCAAAGTTTGCCAGATAGTGGTAGGATCCATGAGCTATGAAAAGGCTGCCTGAGTCATCATTTGATGCGGAGCATCAACAATTGTTTCATTCAATTACAAGCAGCCAGAAGGAGAGACGTGTACCTTCTGGTGGACTCAGCTCGAAAAATTTATTTCAAACTTAAAGTGAGCTCGTACAAGGCTATTTAGTACGTCAAGTAGGGAAGAAAGGGATTTTTTTAATGATTGATTTTGTGAACAAATACATCGGAAAGAATCAATTGAAGCATAGAATAAGTGTGACTAGGTATGCACTGGTGGAAATCTAAGACAGGTATGATGTCCCACAACATCGGCCCTTACTGTCATCATTCAAAAGGACTATCTGTCCAGTCTTGAGAAGTTATTAACCAATACCCTAAGGCTCTCAAGATCCACTCAAAGTGGTAAGTGAATAGCGTACCCGCGGAACGAGCCCGTTTTATTGAACGAGAACTGAAAGTCTAATCCTTTAACGCCATGAGGCCTTGAGGAGGGAAGAGAGTGTTTAGAAGAGTATTGGCAGGGGAATATATATGGAACTCAAATCTTGCCGAGTCTTAACTTCATTCAAATTTTACCTCTGCTTTTTATAATAGAGGTAAGGGCATAACAAACTTTCAACGATATCCATCTGTAAAGGCAACAACAGTGCTCGTGTAGTCTTTCTATTGTGATTGTCTCTATCCATCTTATCATTCATACAGCGCCTAATAATTACCGAAACTATTGATGAGTTCTAGAAAATAATTAGATTGATGGGTTGGTTCCTACTCACTAATGACTGATTAAATAGGTAATGATTATGGATCCACAATCCATGTTAGGAGCCCATTCCGTCGTCTTGATGGGTTGGTTGCATTCGGATGATCTCGTTGATAAATCAAATCTATCTATACAAGTGGAACTCTGACTCATTGAAAATCGGTGGCATCACAACCAAAAGGGACCAAAAGAAGGACAAGAAAGATCTCACACCAACCAAATTCAAACCAAAAACTCCAAACTATCACCTAAACGGTACCATCCCTCTTCTGCAATTAAAAGCAGATGCTCTCAACTTTATATATTTTGCATCACTTTGTTCATTTTCCTGTGTGCAAGAAGACAACACTCATGGACAACATCATGATCCTCCTCCTCTTCCTCTTCTTACCTTCGACATGTCTCTCTCTCTCTCTTTCATTCTCTCTCTCTCTCTCCACAGATTTTAAATGAACTCTACGAAAAAGCTAAAACGCTCAGTTTTGCTGATAGATAGTGTGTGAAGCATGAACGTTAATTGGCAAAAGCATGTTGTTTCTGGATGGATTTTAGTCTTTACATACTAATTCTCGTGTGTGATGCAATCTGAACATTTCTTTTGAAACACTGCAAATCTATGGATCGAATTTCCTTAGCCAGCTGACATTTTGTACTTAAGTTTCATCAAGATGAGAAATTGTCCTGTAAAAAATTGGAGTTGTTTAAGTTACTTTTGATTTGGTGCTCTGCAGCCGGTGCTCCCGTCGGAATCTGCTACGGCCGTGTCGCGAACAACCTCCCCCCGCCGTCCTCTGCCGTCGAACTACTCAAGTCCAACCATATCTCGAACGTCCGCCTCTTCAACACCGAGCCGGCGACTCTCCGATCCTTCTACGGCGCTGGGATCAATCTCATGATCGGCGTCCCCAACGAGGACCTCCCCGCCCTCTCCTCCGGAACCACAGCCACCGCCATCCAGTGGCTCCAATCCAATGTCTTCGCTCACGTCCCGCCGAATCAAGTCCGATACATCGCCGTCGGCAACGAGGTCTTCCTCAGGGACCCCTACTTCACTCCCCACGTCGTCCCTTCAATCATCAACCTCTACAGCGCTCTCCGAACCCTCGGCCTCTCGGAGACCATCAAGCTGTCGTCGCCGCAGGCGGCTTCAGTGATCGTCAACACTTACCCTCCCTCGTCGGCGACGTTCGATCCCAGCCTCCGATCAGTGATCGTCCCGCTCCTGCAGTTCTTGCACGACACCGGATCACCATTCATGGCGAACGTGTACCCGTACATCAGCTACGTGAGCGAGGCCAGCCACATGTCGCCGGACTACGCACTGTTCAGGGGAGGAGGGGAGCCGGTCCACGATGGCCCGCTGGCATACGACAACCTGTTCGATGCGAGCGTGGATGCCTTCGCGTGGGCGATGGAGAGGGAAGGGTTCGGAGGGGTGGCAGTGGTGGTGGCGGAGACGGGGTGGCCGACGGCGGGAGGGGAGGCGGCGAGCGCTGCGAACGCGCTGGCATTCAACGGGAACGTGGCGAGGCGGGCGGCGAGCAGCGCCGGGACGCCGAAGAGGCCCGGCGTGGGCGTGGAGGTCTATCTGTTCGGACTGTTTGATGAGAACGAGAAGGTCGGCGAAGAGTATGAGAAACATTTCGGGATCTTTGGGCTTAATGGCGCCAAGGCCTATAATTTGAGCTTCAATTGAGCTTTTTCATTATATTTTTTTACATGATATTGTAAATAAGACGGTCGATGACCAAAATTAAACTAATATTTGTTGGCCAAAAAAGGGCTAAATGTATTTTCAAGGAGCTAGAAAACAAAGCTAGGAAATTTTTTTTTATTTTTTTTATAAAATACATTAGGTAAAGGAACAACTGTTCTTCAAGGGGCTCAAACCAGACTGTTCCTGAGATTTGAGGTGTCGTTCACCCAGGAAACCAAACTCAAGTGATGCAAATGCAATCCAGAATGTATGATCAACCTGAAAAATGCCAAATTGATTTGAATGGTCACAATTGGGATTATCACACCGTTCTCTGTTCATTGATGGGTAGTAATGCATTTGCTATGTGGCTAGGCCGGACGACATGCGTTCTGAGCTGCATCTGGTTTCTGCATGAACTGCATTTCTTAAGCATAAGGGCGAACTCGCTAGGTTGCTGTTGACTGTTGAGAAACAATTCACCTGTGACCGTGAGTGAAAGACGGCCCGAACCTCGAAAAGAGCCGACATTCTTTTAAAAACTATGGATTCGGAGGCTGCGTCGATTGCTGTTTCGTGCTGCAGATTATGCGATTCCCCATTCGCTCCGTCCGAGCAGTACTTCTCCAATCCTGCCGACTGCTGGGCATATTCCTTCTCTTGGAACGGGGAATGAATTTCCGGAGCCGCCCATCGTCCGTCGCTAAGCTCTCGGAATTACTTTGTATTGTTCAGATTGACCATAGCAACAGTGGAGCAATCAACAGGTCCTAGAATGATATCGACTCACACTTTGTTTAACATTTGGTGGTATCGACTTGTATAGATGGTACTGCGCTCGGCACAGAGACAAGGAACAGAGGCGACAATATAGAGATGGCTGATGGTGCTTCTCATGATCTAACAGTCCTCCTTTCTTCAGAGAACAGAGACTTCCTCATCCATAACAACGGCAACCGGGTATTGTTACGAACAATTGAACATAGATATCTTAATTGTACAGTTTTAGTTGGCCCCGAAGAACCTGCCCTCGGAGAAGCCGGCTGATGTGGGAGTGGCTTTGGTTAAATTTCAGAATGAAAAACCGACATATTAATCGTTGCTGGGCTTTACTCAGAGAATTCAGAAAGATTTGAAAACTTGAAAGATCTGAAAGCAATGCGACATGCATTCTGTTTTCCTGATATTGTTAGGTTAAAATCACCGATTTGACAGCCAAGATCACGGTGTCGAGGCCTACTCCTTTACGCCCGAAAAGCGTGCTGAACTCGCTGAGATTACTAGGGCGAAGAACAGGGGGCGGACACTCGAGTCGGTTTTAGTCTTGGAGGAACAAGAATTCGTGATCGATCAAAGGTAGCCCGTTTGTCTGTTCTACATGAAATAAACTTCGATGGTCTATTAAGGTATGAATCACAAGGGCAAGTAGCTTTGCTAATGACCGTCTTTCTATTGAATTTGGTCCTCTCGGTGGGGAAGAACATCTTACTCTATTTCTCAGCAATTAATCACCACATCTTTGCCCAATGAATCACCCACGGTTTCCCTCGGATCCCTTTTTTTTCCCCAATCATCCGACTTCGTTCTTATTCTGGTAATAGATTGGCGTTGGTCATATTATCAATCCCTGAGACAAATAGCTTGTTTCAAGTTTGAGTATTGACATTATGCATATTATAAGATGCAATTAAAGCAGGAGCAGGAGAAGAAAATCCATTGCAAGATGAATGTGCGATGACGAGGAAAGACTAATTTTACTAAAGAAACTGATACAGATACAATATGCGTTTAAGACAAGAAATCTCGATCCGGATGCCACTGTAACAATTATAGGAAACTAACTGTCATCGAGTATGGCTTCCGATTCTCTCTATACCTCTAGTTTTACAGCCTTGATTTCCTTTTAAGACTGTCGAGAGTCTCAATAAATACATTATACATGTTATGGGAGCTTCCGCTTTTGTTGCTTGCAGAGTTTGTGCAGGCTACCCATTACCTATCTACCTGAAGAAAAGAAACTCCAGCAACTGCTATGATGTGAACACGTTACAATCTATCTTCTTTTCTTCATTCGCATCCCAATGTGGGGCACTGTGTTGCATACCTTCAGAGCAGGATTCTCTTCTCGGGCTTGGTTGCGCCAACTGATGAACCATCAGGTCATCAAATCCATGCCTTTCAAAGCTTGTAAAAGCACCCAACGCTCCAAGAAACCCTTCATGTCGCAGAAACATTGCTTGGGCCTCGCCTTTTGACCTGTAAAATGGGTGAATAATCCTTCAGAGTTTTGGCAGAAGATGCTAGGCGATCCAAAAACTAACAGGACAAGAGACAGTAAAACACATTCCTGACAGTTCGACAACTTGACTTCAAGTGCTAGGAAGAAAAATGGGAAAGAGAGTTGACAATTTTTAAGTCATCAAAAAAGAGTGAACACAAGCGCATGCACATATAGCTAACAATTTTCCATGCAAGGTAACTTATGTCTGCACAGAACCTATAGAATGCGACAGACAAAGTCCAAAATCTAAGCTAGGTTTGTATCCTAAAATCAGTATCAAAGATTAAAAAGTAAATGGCCAAATTGAAGAAAAAGGAGAGTTTTGAGATTACCAATATTGAACTCCGACAGAGATAGTATCCATGGTATAAGCATGGCTCCGGATGAAAAATCCTCCGAAGAATATCCGCTTGAGCCCATATCGAAGTGCATTTAAGTAGGCAATCTGAGGAGTGAGAACAAAATAGAACATTAAAGTATTTATTTAATAATTCTCTGTTTCTTTTCTATGACCACCATCAGTGATCCAGTTTCCTATGGTCTACCATCACTAGATCATCTTACAAATCTAAAAAAGATGTAAAAATCTTAAAGAATATCATGATGAAGTTGACATTCAGGAAAAGTTTTAGAAAACTTGATCACACTCTTCACCAAGCTCAACAGTCGAAATCAACATTACAACCTAACATACCAAGATGATAAGATCATTCAACAGAGGTTCGGAATAAGAGAGCGGTAAACACAGATACAGCCTCCCAGGTCTATTCTTAATTATTAACAAATATCGAAAGAAATCGAATCATCCAAATAGCCTGCCTGTAGGATGCGCCCTAAATGACGATCAATTCTGTAGAATCAGCATATGCAAAGTGGTTGCAATCTTCAGGTATCAATTGTTGTAAGCCACTGTGATCAGTACAGCTTCTAGAGAAGACCAACAATATCGCCAGAACTATTTCTTTGCTAGAGATAATAACAATAATTTTAGAAAAAAGCACCAGCGGTACAAGAACAACCAGATGCAATCAAGACTATTGGAACATACCTGCCCAATATTATTAGAAATCATTCTCAAAAGAGACCGTGAAATATCTTCAGGTTTGTAATCTTCAAGCTCTTTATCGATTGAAATTGCTTTACCAAAGCTAGAAGCAATATTTGTTGATGAGAGACCAATCTGTGATCACAGATAAAAGAGGAAGAAAATAAAAAGATGTCCCTAAGTCATTTGTCATTAGATGGAAAGTAGTAAGATAGAAATTCTCGGTGAAATTAATAACAGAAGTTGTCAAAGCACATAAAGCGTGCATTAGAAATATGAAACTTTCCCACATGAATAGTTGTATATTTGTAGAAGCGTCTCAAACATTCTCATTATTTTTACTTGCTTGACCAGTGCTCTAACAAAGACACTTGATATATAAGAACCTAAGTTACCTAAGTTACAAGTATGGTTCTAGGATAAGATGCTAGTTTCTTCTAACTTCACAATCTTGCAGAAAAACCTGTTTAAGAAGGCTACCTTCGAATAATCCGTTCCTCCATAGATGTCCCCAACAAGCATATCTATGACTCTGTTATTTCCAACATGGCTCAACTCAAGCAACTCATCAAAACTGCAGAAAAGGATAGATTCACCTTATTCAGATGAAATAAATTCAAGAGTCAAAATCAGTTTTAATTTGAGCAGGTGAAGAGAAACACCTCTGGCATTTTGTTAGAAGTTTTCCCAACCCCCAAAAGGTGCCTCCACCGACACTTGTCCCACTAACTCGCTCAAATTTTCCATCCCCATCCACCTGCAAATCACAAAAGGAAAGAGTTTTGTATGATGAGAATAGTTCAAAATAATAGTAGCAGACTGTAGTAGCAGTAGTAGTAGAAGAAGATAGTTTCGAAAAACACGATTAACCTTGATCATGCTGACACCTGATCCAATATTAACGAGGAGATATGGGTACAAATCTTTATGATCAATCTGCACAAATTCTTTCTGGCCATCCATATAGATAAAGGCTTCACGCTGGACAGCCTGTCAAAACCATTTGCAATTGACATCAATAGATGTCATTCCAAATTAAGCCACAGAGAGAAATATTTTTTGTTTATGCAGCATGATGGGGTCATTCGTCCACCTTAATATGACATGTGTAATCAGAACCTGAAATTTCAAAACATTATGGACAGAGAACCAAGATTTATTTATTATATAATCAATATCAACAGTTTAAATGCTATGACGCCAACTCATTTTCCTGATTTAATTGCAGAAAGGCCAACTCAGGGAACAAGGTTGATTCAACAGTCAGAGGATGATCTCAACCAGCCAAAACTCTCCTGATGAAGATTCTTGATGTGACGAAAGGATAGCTTCTGAAGAGTAAAAGGAAAGGCCATCTCCAAATCATTGGACTTTCATGGTCAGATTAATTGCATGTTATGAAAGTAGAACCACATTTTAATATCAAGCCTTTGTTACTCATGATGTTATCTTCATTTTCACCAAGTAAGTCTTCAATTGGCGCTTCTCCTAATGCAGATGTTCTTAATATCCACACAAACTTGCATAAGGGAATCTCCATACTGACAGAATGCGGAAGGCCAGGCTTCTCATCTTCCCCCTTATTCATAATAGAGTTTAATAGTTGAAGAGGAAATAGATGGAATGATACTGCCTCACTCCATACAAGTATATATTTAGCATGAATAAAGTATCTCGACTTCTAGTCGACTTTTAGACTGGAATAATGAGCACTATAATAAGCCTCTAAATGAGAGACATAAATCTTGAAAGACATCATATATTCAAGGGAAAGTGGGTACCGTTTTGATAAAAAGTCAACTCACAGATTTGCTTTCCCAATCTTACCTTTAGCAGAAAGTTTGCTCCCGCGACAAGACAGTCCATTTCGTCTTCCTTATCAAGTACAATCCCAAGTTTCTCTTTGAAGAGATCCGTAAACTTGAATGCCCCACCTCCTGTAGCCTTCTCACAAGAGACCAGTAGTCAAGAACCTTTCAAGCAACAATCAACAAATTTCACTGTTGTGGGTGGAAAATGGAATCTTAAGTTATGTTTCTTAATTGTCTTCATCAGTAACTCCGTCCTAGATGCAATCTCATTGAAGACGTGACATAAAGAATCACTAGACAGAATATTCTTGATTAAAGATTGTGATCCAAGAAACCAAAGTGACAAAATATTCATATGGAGATGTACTCAAATCTCTAGAATAACAACATCATTTTCGCAATCGATGCGCAGATGCAAAAGAATCCACCGACCAATTCCTAGTTTCATCTTCAATAGATACCTTGATAATGATCTTGTTCTTGGAAGGAACCTCGTGATGCTGGCCTGCAGTCATCTTTGTCCATAAGAAACGGATTGAAGTTAAGAATTACTAGATAAACACTACTTGTTGTACAAGGTTGTGCCCCTAATGGTAGCACCGGCACACACTTGACCGCATTCAGTAAATGCCAGCACCTAATTCAAAATGCCGGGGGCTAAAGACCCGAAATTGGCGGAGCGGGCCCCTCAATTTCGACTATAAGAGAAACTCAGGACTCGTTTAGAAAGTTCTAACATCGCGGAAAAGCCGCGGAGCACACCACAGTGCACAGACGTAACAAGAATACCTCCGACGTGCAGCTGTTTCGACCGGATAAACTCTATGCAATCATTGATTTTGCTGGTTTCGAACTTGGCAAAGTGAAGCCTTCCTTCGGAAAGAGGGTGACTGCTCTCGCCATTGGAGACCCCTAGGCTCTCCTTGGAAGACCAAATCTTATTGTCTTCCGGCAACCAATCGCTGTTCCTCGAGTAATACACCAACTTGATCAGAGACCCTGCAACACGTCAATCACGCCACTCACGACACTAGCAAACCAACAAGAAATTCGCCCCCTCACCCCCAAGAAACGAAAGAGGAAGAAGGAATCATCCTCCATGTCGCGAGAGCAACAAAACAGGCCGGTGAGAAAATTTGCACCGCAGGGGCTCGACGGCCCCGAACCGAAACGATCAATTCCCGCTTCCGCGCGCCAAAACCGGGCGAAATCCGAACCGAAATTTGGAAAGTTCGAGGGGGGGGGGCGACCGGTCACCTCCGATGTCGATGGCCAGATGAGGCGTCGGGCTGCGGGGCTCGGCCGGCGACGCCATGGCGATGGGGGCCTCGTCGGGGAGGAGCGCTCGATCGGCGACGACCTTGAGATCCATCTCTCGATCCGATTCCGATTGCGCCCCCCCGCCTTCCCTTCCCTTCCCTTCCCTCGTTCGATCAGCCAGCAGCTAATAATACACACACACCTCCCCACCCACCTAGTACCTAACCCATAGCGAACTGGCAATTCGCGACCATTTAATAGCGTGTCGCTTGGACGGTTCCGTCACGTCAAATGCGCGAGGGCAGCACTCCCAGGACGGACAGAGAGAGAGAGAGAAAGATAAGAATGATTTGGTGGGCGATGCGAAATTGACCTCGATCCGAGAGGTCTCGTTCTCGCGAACGGAGAGCGGAGCGCGTGCGGTTAGTTTTAATAGCCTTGTGTCTCATTCGTGACCTTATCGACGGCACGACATTCATTAGCTAAACCTTGGCGATTGCTAAATACACAGCGCGCCCCCACCGTGTTCCGCGGATCCCCGGCTCTCTTTAACTCTTACCTTCATCGGATGTTTTTTGGGGGAATGTCGGTTGTCGCGAGGGGGATTCTCGTCGTTCGCGAACTTCCGCCGTTTCGCGCGATGCTTTGTAATTCCGGTGCTCGGGTATGTGTTCGAGCGTTATTAGAGACGCGATCTTCGGATTTCACCGCGAGTGAGACCATATAGGTAGACGTGGTAAAATGAGTTCTAAAACGCGTGTCAGTGCAGGTCATAAATAAGTGTTAAGTTTTGAAAACAGGATTAAGTGAGTCATAAATGTGTTGCCTAACAGCTTAATGGTCTTGAATGGGTTGATAACTAACCCATTTTCATACTCATGTGAAAAACAAGTGAACCCTTTCACCAGTATCTAGTAGTTATAAAGCTCTGTTGATTTGGAGATGCCAAAACAGGCGAGGGCCGAGCAACCCTCGTCGACACCAAGTGAAGGCCGGCAAGGATCCAATCAAGGGTCCCGACCTTTATCCAGATTTGGCGAGTGCCACCAAGCCATTGCTGTCTGCGAGCGAGGGTTGCTGCCCCACGACCCTCACCTATGACCTACAAGGCATCGTGGCCCTCACCTAATGGCCAATGAGAGTGACAGGCCCTCGTCGAACTTAGAAAAAAACAAGGAAAAGAAAGAAGAAAGAAGAAAGAAAAAGAAAAGACAAGAAAAGAATATAAAATATAAAAGTTCATAATTTTTTTTGAAGAAATTATAAAACTTGTACATTGAATTTGTATTGCATGGGAATGCTTTAGCAATATATATATATAAGAAACATATAGTCGGATTGGGTATGGGTCGCTAGTTTTTTATCGTATAAAAATTGGTCAAAATTGATCCAATTGGATCAGACCATTTCAATTCGATCAATCCGTTTGACGAGTCTAATAGCAGGTGAAAATATTATTTTCATTGCCGACTTTAATGGAAAGGCAGGCGGCATGCTTCCATCGCAATATTCGTTAGGTCGCTTGGTTATCATGCATCTCTTATGATAAGCTCTGCTCAGAGAACAAATTCGATCGGCTAATAAACTAAACACTCTTGCGCCCCCACGTGCTCGTGAAACAATGAATATGCGATGGGTCACCTAAGTAGGTAATCGATTCGATTCGCACCGGTCACATTTTATGCAAGCAATATTTCCTTTCCCCATCAATAACACGATGCATCGCTCGAGATTACCTAACTTGGCCGATTACATTTATGGAGTGCCATAGTCTGGAGGCTCAATTATGTAAATTTGCATGGAACTTTGATTTGATAGGTTCGATGGTCAAAACAGGGAGCCCCACCTCACCCCATCGCTGCTGACTCGTGCCATTTGGTTGGACCCGCACTTCGGAACGGCGTGCGGGGGGCGCAAGAGCAAACTAAAGTTGACCGTAAATTCCTCCCTCGCGCAGCAACTCTGACCATTGAATTTGGATCGTTCGAAGTCGCGGAGCTGTTGACTCGCCCCCAACCAAACCATTATCCTTGGCTTTCCCTTCGCATTCCTCGCGGGGACTTAAAGAAAGGGAATCGAATCTCCTGTTCTTTGCACGAGCATCATCATCAACTGAGCAGAGGCCACCTAATCCTCACCCCGTCTCCCACCAGCGGTAAGCCCGCGACAAACGTTTTCGTCCTTGAAAAGATGCGTTCCATATGTCACATCAATATAATAAGTACAAAAGACCAAGGTGGTTAGGTCTAATCTCTCGATAATTACGTCCTCCTCCGCCCGCTCGATCATCGACAAAGTACTAAGATATCAAGATATTTTTATGGTGGATAATTTTCGGGAACTATTAGAATATTTTCTCATTCGTATTAGAGTGCACGTGTAAGTTGCTTGAAAAAAATTTCATATCGGAGAGTTGATGTGATATAGAACGGTTAATATATCCCAATTGGTCTGTGATTTATTAGTTTAAGCTTTGAGTAAAGGTGTATTAAACTTTCCGTTGCACGCTCCCAACAATTCATTCATTTATGCAAGGGCGAGTAGTGCTTGCCATTAGGGGTGTGCAAACTGGGAAGCACTAGACCGACTATATATACTTTTTTTATTTTTTATTTCTTCAAAAGAATTAGTAAAATGTAAAATAAACCTGAAGTGAACTTAATTGATATAAATTCATTGAAAAAAATTTGTAAAATGTAAACTAAATCCTAAATGACTAGTTCTATTGGACCGAACCGGGAATCAATCAACTCTACTCGCCATACCGAAACGCCTAAAATATCTGGCTCATATATCAAAGCTGCACCAGTCAAAGAGGCCTCTTGAACAGGTGATTGAGGGACTCTTTGGTGACCAAATAGCAAATGAAATACTAACAATCCCTCTAAGAACTGATGTTTTAGAAGACAAAATTGTGTGGACGGGAACTAAATCAGGTGATTTTTCAGTGAAAAGTGCCTACCATGTCATTAGAACAGAAGCCTCAAAACCGATTAGCAACCAAATATCAACCTCTTTTCAGCCCCCACGGATGCTATGGAATAGAATTTGGCATATGTTATCCCCCAAAAGTTAATTCTTTTGTATGAAGTTTATGTCAAAACACCCTTCCAATTAAGGACAACCTGTTTGGTAGGAGAATCATATCCGATCCATTGTGCCCGATCTAACGAAGCCTCCCAGAGACTAGCAAGCATATGTTTTTGCTTTGCCCTTGGACGAAGCCTATCTAGGAGAACCCAGCCCTGCAAATCAATATTTAAACCTGTTAAACGGGTGGGTCAGGTCGGGTTTGGATCGGGTCATAAATGGTCCGACCCAAATTGACCCATTAACCCTTTTATGACCAATTTATTTGTAATGTAAATATCCCGACCCATACCCGACCCAACCCATACCCAACCCCGACCCGACTCAACCCGACCCGACCCATATTACTAAAACACTTCTATATTTAACTCAATATAGGAAAACTTGTTTCTTATGACTTTTTTTAAAAATTATACTACTAAAACATTTTCATACAATACAATTTTTAATTATTTTTTTATTTTATTAATTTAAATATTTTTTAAAATCCAATTTTTAATTATTAATTTTCCCTTTATTTTTGGCCGGTGCCTGGCGTCCGGCCACCAGCCACAGGCGAGGACGAGCTCGCCGGAGGTCGGCGAGCTCGAGTCTCGCCGGATCGGCGAGGCCTCAGGCTCGCCGGAGGTCGGCGAGCTGGAGTCTCGCCAGATCAGTGACGCCTCGGGCTCGCCGGAATCAGGCAAGCTCGGCCTCGCCGGCCTATGGTGAGACTTGAGGTCGCCCGATTTCGGCGAGCCTGAGGCCTCGCCAACTTGTGGCGAGGTCGTTCCTCCCTTGTGGAGGGTGGCCGGTCGCCGGCTGTCGCCATGGCCGGCCACCCGCCGAAAAGAGAAAGAGAAAAAAAAATAAATAAAAAAAAAGAAAAAAGAAAGAAAAGAAAAGAAAAGAAAATAGATTTTTAAAAATATATAGTTTTATAAAAAGGGGTGGGCCTAATGAGTGGGTTGTACACTCAACCCATTAAGACTCTTTTATGATAGGCTTAAAACTTTAAGACCTATTTAAGATGGGCTCCTCAAAGTTGTATTGACACATTTATTTTTTATATGGGTCATACATAGATTTTAAGACCCATTTAACAGGTCTATCAATATTCAAAGCCAAGGTTTGACCCGTGTAGAAGAGTGGCTGTTGAGTTTTGTAAGAAATCAAGGAAACTCACCAAAATTTGAACTGGTCTCAGGAGTCCTATGGCTTATCTGGAAGACACGAAACCACACCATATTCCGAGGTCTCCGACCAGAATCGTCTAGTATTGTCCAATCCAACCAGACTCTGCTTGAAAATTATGCAAAATGGAATGACAGGGGAAATTTAATAGGGAATCAATGCGAGAACTCTCGAGCTCCTAGTACGACTAATCAAGCGTGGAAACCACCGACGAAGGAAGTTTTAAAAGTAAATATTGATGGAGCTTACTCACCCGGCTCAAACGAAGGCGCTGTAGCCTGCATTGTGCGCAATATTACCGGGTCTCTAGTCGATGGATTTGCTAGATCGGTGAGGGCTGCATCGGCGTTTCAGGCGAAAACCATAGCTCTTGTCCATGCATTGCGCTTTCTCTCTCCTCGAAGAAGTTTTAAGCTGGAACTCAACTCCGACTGCTTGAGTTTAATCTCCTCCTTGAAGTCAGCTGATCAGCAAGGGTAGGAAGAGCAAGCACTCTTTTCGGATATTAAAATCAAGTTTTGTAATAGGGAGCAAAATAGAGTTGTGGATTGGGTTGTCATAGCCCAATACACGAATTCTCTCCCTTCTAATTGGATAGCCAACCCCCCCGAAACTCTTTTGGACCTACTATGTTTAGATGCCCCCTGCTATGGGCTTTGTTTCTTGAGTTATTAATAATAAAAATTTGTGTTTCTAGACCAAAAAAAAAAAAAGAGGCCTCTTGAAAAGGGAAAAAAAATTTGAAAAGAGAAATCGGATTTCTCTGAACGGATTCGGGCCGGTTCGGTTCGAACGGGTTGAATGGGCTTTTCTGTCTCTGTCTCTCTTCCCTGCATATCTAGTTGGGCCGACGAAGAAGACAGTCGAGCCTCGCGATCACTTTGTTTCGGTTGCTCCTCCTCTGGAATCGCGAGAGCTTTACACCTGCAGCTCTGATGATGAGTGATGGACGATCGTGGTGTAAACGGGAGGGAAGCGCGCTGATCGCGAGCAATGCCGTATCGCCAGCGCACGGGACGCCATCGACGACGCGACGGCGATGACAGCGTGGGAACGTGTTCCGGCGAGCCGGAGAGAGAGGCGGCCGAGAGGGAGCTTCCGGCGAATCGCGCGGCGTCTCTCGATGTGAGTGAAGAGCCTCTACATGTGATTGGAAAAACGCTTCTACGTTTGTCCGTCTCTCGCGAATTCCCGCACATTTCTATTAGGCATCTTCGGTTCGGATTATCCGTTTCATTTCATCGTCGCGTTTAGATCGATTGATGTGATGCGATGCGATGCGAGCTCGATGATGAAGTGGAAGCAGACTGGGAGCACGAAGACGTTGAGTTCGTCGTCAGTCATCAGACGTGTGTAAATATTGGAGGTTGATGATTTGTAGCAAGTATCTGTGACGACATTGTATGTTGTGAGGTTTAGCATGTCACTTAGTCTTAGTTATCTGTAGTGCTACTCCTCAAGCCTCTATGAGCGAGCCCTGGTTACTTCTGGCGCGCGATTTCCTTGTTCCGGTTAGCCAGATTTGGTGTGCTGAATAGAAAAGTAGATCATTCGCCATGTCTCTGAGTCTTCTGCTCGGTGTGGTATTGTGTTGATCGAGAGAGAAGTAGCTGGAAGGTACTCGCGAGTGCAGTGTTGCCCCATTCTCTTCCCTACCTTGTTTTCATCGTGCTGGTGAGCTTGATTTGATGTGCCGAATCTAAAAGTAGGTCATTCGTCGTGCCTTTGATTCTTCCACTCCGTGTGGTAACGTCTCGATCAAGAGAAAGATGGCCGGAAGGCACTCGCGAGTGCGGTTGTGCCTCAGTTCTGTTCTACCTGCTTGCATCTCAATCTTAAGGAACTTTTTCCCTGACTGCGAGGACTGGCACGAGAGGAGGAGGGATTTCAGTGTTTCCGTGCTCTTGTTTCTTACACTTTCATTTTGCCTTGGCAGTATCTTCAAATTCTTCTATTATATTCTCCTGTTCTATTTATTCAGCGCCAAGAAGATACCAACAGATGCCACAGTATCCCCTGATTTTGCTCCAAATGGGTCAGCTTGTCATTCGTGTTAGGGAACACATGGCATGGGCGATAAAATTGGTCAGGCATCAGACTTCTCGGATACATCTTATGATTGTGGCTTCCAAATTGTCTGGGATAGGTTGATTGAACAGCTGATAGCATAGTAATTCTGTTGTCAGAGCAGAGGTCAGGGTTCATTAGTATTCAACTGTCTACAATATATTGTCCTCAATGTAGGGCACAGGTGTTCAGAAGGTTTGACTTCTAGCAGTAATTGTTTATATTTATGTAGTAAGGAAAACAAAGGATTTGATTGTCCAGTGTAATTTTCTATTCAGAGGCAGCGATAATCCATCATCTAACAGCCATTTTTGTGCCAAGGACAAATTCAAAGGACGCTGATCATGCATTGTTGAAGAAATGACCTCTGAGAATCTGGCAGGTCCTATAGATTCACCCTGGAGCCAAGAACAAACTTAATCAACGGAGTAAGATGCTAGTTGCCATATCAGCCATTTATGTAAAACAGAAAAAATAGAGTCTAATTTGATGAGTCTTCTTCTTTAATAGTCTTATGGCGTCAATAGATATGCTTTTCTCTTTGGGAACAAGCATAACAGATTTATTTGGTTTAACAGACTGCATATTGATATATCGTGTGAGGTATGCTTGATGAAAGAAGAAAGTAACTGATACTGTTTCCAGCATTGCTGTGGTTCCTAAAAGCATATAATCTTTGATCTACAGACTTTTTTCAATGATCTTATAGAGGGCTAAAGCAGTGTTTGGATATGTGGGATGTGCCTGAAAGACTGGATTTGATGGCCCTTAGTTGCTCAATGTGCTGAAATTGTTGACAAAAATTTACAGCAGTTGCAGGAGAATCAATCTCACTTGGCTCAATAGACTATGAGACTCGAAATTTAGTTAGGTTACAAAAGTTCTGCAGTTTTCCTTGCAGTATTTAAATATTTTTCTGGAAGCTGACTATAGTTTTCCAAACTTTTTTTTTCTCATGCCATCTCCAATATCTTTTATGTCTTGATTAATGCTTAAGCTTATAAATTCCAGCCGGCACCGGAATGTTGTTTTCAATACATTCACAATTACCTACTCGTGCAATCGATCTGTCTTTTCTTTTGCATATCAGTCGATGGTTTTTTCCTCATTTGATGTTGCTAGGATATGATTATTCTTTCCCGAATGTTAATAGTTGCTGGAAGATAAGCTTCATCCTTTTGCTGCTTTACATATATTTTGCTAGAGAAGGTGCTCATGGACCATATTCTTCTTATTGTTTAGTGTCCAAAATTCTTAATTAGTATCAATGAACGATAATATATTCTGTTTGAATCTAGAAATCAGCAGTTTTGTATTATATGTGTGACAAGACAATATATAATAATGAAGGCTGTCGTGCACTTTAGTATTGGACTTTAGCTAATAGTGCTGCTGGTATACTCCCATACCTGGGTCATCAATATAACCTTCCTAAAGAAGAATAAACAAGCACTCCCCAAATATACAAACTCTATCTATCTCTCAAATTATATGAAGGGGCCAGGAACTCACGCCGACCACGCAATTGAATGGGGGATGGAATACTGAGATTAATCTCAACATGAATCATGATCAGATTGAATCCTATTTTTTGATGGCTTCCCTATTTGTAAGCAGTCAATTGGCGGAACTGTAGGAGTGCTCAACAAACCAAAAGTCTGCCAGCAGAAGGGATTATAGAGGTGGTACTGTTCTTGCACTGGTTTCAATTGTATAGCTGTGAGAGTCACATCAATGCATGGTAGGCTATCGCTGCAGGCAAAGTGCACTGGTTTAACCGTGTATGTTCCTCTAATCCTTTCATAAGTAATCCCTGACAATGCCACAGCTGATGATTGATTCTTGCAGGTGCTTTTGTCACAATAAAATTGATCAATGATGATTGGAAACTGCACTTCAGAAACTTGAATGTTTGAGAACATTACTCCTTGCACAGATCCTGATCCACCCTGGAGAGTATAAATTCGAAACGACATATTAGAGATAAGCCAGAACTTCAATTTGTATGAGAAAAGTAATTATTCAACGCAGCGGTTCTCTTCTGACTTTGATGTATGTAGCCATCTGACAGCAAGAGTAGGTACATCTGTTGGATTTGATCAGATTATTGCTATCTTCCGTTTTCACTGAGTAATTTAATGGTTTGCGATTGAAATGTTTGGTATATAGCTCAAATTGGAATGGTTTTTATTCGAAACCTTGGATTGAATTAAATCTAGCCCTAACAAGTCTTTGTTCTCTTGGCCATTTGCCCTTTGTTAACTGGCTGCTTGGCTTCTAATGCTGTTCAATGAATAAGAAGAGCTGGTTGCCAAGCAACTTGAGGTTGCAGCACCTTTTTCTTTTGTGCTTTTTTCTTGTTCCCTTTCTTTCCATACCTAATTGTGCAGAGTTTGATTGAATTTTAGCATATGGATGTTAATAGTACCTGCCATGTCTTTATTCTCACTCCAGTCATTGTGTTGTGTATGTTGACATCTCGGATGGTGATGTTCGAGACACATGCTTTTGTATTATCCCGGCCCAGACTTCCAATGCTGATCCCGTGTCCTGGTCCACAATTCACATTGTGTATGTATACATTTGAGCATCCTGTTTGTATTGATACGCAGTCATCTCCTGCACAAATTATCAGCACAGAAGAGCTTATTTTAGTTTATGATCTCATTGAACCATTTATAAGGGCTGACATATGTTGTGGATGAATAATCTCATTTTATGCCGAATTTCTAGCATTCACATTATGTCTGATAGCATGTTGGTGTTTTGTCATGAGTTTTTTCCAGCTCAAGGAATAATGAGGCCTTGGTACCATGTGGTGCTCCGTGGATCTTCCATCCGACAGAAGCAGATAATGTGAAAGTGGCTGGAGGCAGTTGCGCTAGTTGTTAATAAAGACAAAAGTAAGTTTGGGGTATGCCTTATGCAACAGAAAAAAGTGGTGTTATTGTGTGTGGACCTCAAACCCAATCTCATCGTATTTCTTGCTGGTGATTTAGGGAATGACGTGTCAAGTAATTGTTCATGTTACAGGAGAGCATGGAGAATTGGTTGCCGCCATGTGTTGGCCGACTAGTGGCTACATTTTGTTGATGCCACCAGCAGATATATAAGGTTTCGGAGGAGGATAAGCTTGTGCTCTATTACCAAGTAAGTTTTCTGCTAGTATATGTGGTGATAAGCTATGGCTTCAATTTTTTGGACTGCATTTTTTGTTTTTGTCTGTCAATGTCTGGGCTGAGCTGGGGCCCACATCCAGGTTCACAAGATTTATAGGAAACACCTATTTCAAGGATACTAACTACTTTCTGAGAATATGAATAGGAAGAGTTTAGCTAGTAAAGAGCCTTAATGGCATTGCTCTCGAATGTCATAGTTTTGGACTGTGATTTGAAAATCGCCTTCGTTTTTAGGGGTTATAAAAGATGTTCGGCTAATGATACCGTTATTGATTAGCTAGTCGAAAGGGGAAAAGAAAATGGAAAGGGAAAAGAAGTGTATTGTACCACAAGCAAGACTGGAGCTATGAATGAGCACATCTTTGGAGTTTTGGAGGTGAATGCCGTCTGTGTTGGGGCTGTCGCCTGGAGATGAGATGCTCATGTCATGAACCAAAACTCCCATGCAATTGTCAAATTTGAGGTGGCACTGGGGGCTGTTTTGAATTGTAATGCCCGTGACCGTCACATTGAAACTCCCATAAAACCTCAGAGCCTGTGCAAAAAACATAATTAACATTTCTAATGATACAGGAATGCTGGGACTTGGGAAGTTGAGCATTTGTGAAACTGGGCCTTACAGTGGGCTTGATGCTTGGCATTTTTGCACTGAGCTCATTTCTCACCTGTCACAATATATATCAGAAGCCTAATCAGTTATAGCAACTAATTACTGGAACAGTGAACACAAATTCACAGGATGAAATCGAGCATACTACTTTAATGATGGTAAACTCTTATCATACATAAGGTGAAGTTCAAGAAAGTTACCGGCATTGGTGGATTTCTTTCCACGGAGCTGTTTAACGGAATCAGGAACCGTGTTTCGTCGTCGATGGGATCATCAAATGGGTAGTCCTCCCACCAAACGGAGCCTCGGCCATCAATAGTTCCTTGCCCTTGGATTGTGATCCCTCTTAGCTTTGTGAACTCGAGCCATTGTAGCAGACCTTTTCCCCATGCTTCGTTCTCTGTTGGAGCAACTATGGTTCCATCCAGCTGAAAATTAATTCGAACTCTTTTAGCCTCCCAGAAACGGTGTTTTCTCGAGCACACTGTCTCACAGAATTTATTTTTTACCTGGAATAAAATGTTTGCCTGGCAATATGGACCCGAAAACGAGATGGGTCCCACGAGGAATGCGTATTCTGCTGGGACGATCATCATCGATGCCTCCACTTTGCATGCAGCGGCCCATGCATCTTCAAATGCCTGCAATTCATTACAGCAGAAATAGCAGAACACTTTTCTTAGGATTCAGCCAAAACGAAAAAGGAAAATAACAACTCGCTTTCCGTTTTTCTTATTGTCAGACAAAACATTTTTCTTAGGACCAAACGCTAAAACTTTGGTCATCGTTATACAGTTGGTGTTGGTTTGTAGGAAAACAGTAGACAATAATTGTTGGAATCATGTGGTCCCAACAGCCACAGCAAGAAACCTTTTAGGGTGGGTCCCATAGCCCACACCCTGGTAGTTCAGTTGTCCTTTCCTGTGCAATTTATTGTTTGTTACATGGTAGGTAATCTTTTTATATTCTCGAAATTAAGTTGGAAAATTCGATATGTTGGTAGGACAAGAGGGTCACGCACGTCTAGTTTTAGCATCTTTTGCCAATTCCTTCCTAATGATTTTGAACTTGCTAGTAAGAGAGAAAGTTAAGATGACCAATAACTTAAGCTTCAACCCATTTACTATTGTGACTAGTGTTAAGAGGTACTAAAAAAACTTGACTTAATAATCCGGAGTCATGGAAATGCATGATTGAAATTGAAAATTAGGACACGAGAAAGATTGATTGGCGCTTTCTGTGGAATCTTAAGTTGTCTCTTTGTATGTAGCATTTCACTTTATGCTCTCAACCGGGTCAAGTGACTGGTTGAGCTCCAAGGATGCTTTTCCGGCTTGTGAAGTTGTTCAAGGACCATTTCTAGACTACAGCGATTTCATTGTTGTGCATGTTTTGATAATCCATTGAATCTTAAAACAATGCCTTGGCTCTAACTAGCCTAAACTAAAAAGGAAGAAAAAAAGTTACTGAATTTTGCTCTTGTGCCTTTGAGAATGCTAGTTATATTGTATCATCAGTGAAAGTTTTTTATTTTTCTATTTTTGCTGGTCGAAGCACTCTGTTCAGAGGCTACTTTCTAGGGTAAAAGTTTAATAGACTCAATATAGCATACCACACTGTAAATATGAAAAGTTTCCGATTACCCACAGAAAGAAAGGACGATTGTCGATGCCACATTGTATTTATGAAAAGTTTCTCCTTTAATCTTTGAGAAGTAAAAATGAAATGTTTGCTTGTTAAACTAAATTGACTGTTTTAATTGGCATCAACATGCATTTAAAGACTTTCATAGTATTTACTTTGCGTACTAGACCAACAAAAAGTAATGCGAGAGCGAAGAGTTGGGCTTCTAGTTTGACCTTTGTGTCATCAGTACTTCCATCACCCTTGGCCCCGAAATCAAGCACATTAAAGGTGGCAGAGCGGCCACCCTTGTAACCTTTCTGTGGCGGCAAAGGTGGCGTGGCTTCTACTGGTTCAGGACTCGGAGGCAACGATGGGGTCTTGTGAGATGGAGCTGTTGGAGATTTTGATCCTCCATGGTGGTTGTGATGGCTACTGCCATGTCTTTTTGTCTTCTTCTTTAGCAGAGATGCTGAGGTTTCTCTGCTGTGCCTCCAATGCTTCCCTCTTCTGGCATTGCACATTTCAAGACTTGAAGACCAAACAAGAAATGCTATGACAAGCATAAATGTGATGCTTCTGAACCTCAATCCCTCCATGTTTTAGTGTTGTGTGTGTGTGTGGAGGGGGGGTTGGGCACAGAGAGAGAGAGAGAGAGAGAGAGAGAGAGAGAGAGAGAGAGAGAGAGAGAGAGAGAGAGAGAGAGAGGGTTTAGATGTCCAATATAAGTGGTGGAGGGTATATATATAGGGAGCGAAGTGAAGAGTTGATGATACTATGCAGATATAAGCAAAGAATTCTTCCGATAATTCTTGGTATTAATGTCTCATTCGTTCCTTAAAATCTCTTGCTTGCTCTTTATGTTAATTGTGTATTGTTCCTTTGTGTGAAATATTGGTTGGGAGTGCTTGTCCTTACTAGATGGGGCCTTCTGTTGACACATGTCACAATGTTTTTGCATGTGACTCCTCCCTTTCGCAAGCATATCTTTTGATGGGGATCTATCTACTAGCAAACCAGACTGTAATCGATCATGGCATGCATTGCCGGCTAGCCAATTATAACTACTATGAGTACCACAGTCCGTTCTTTCTCATGCGAATCATTCAATATGTGATTGTGCATGCATACATTGCCAGTGAATTCATTGATGATGCCTACTAATTCAGCGGATAGAATATTTCATTCTCTAAGGACCGAGACATATTTATCAAGATCCGATGTTGTTTATTTCATAGACACGATCATTTTGTAAGCTTGTCATGGTATTCTGCCTACACTATATTAAGAGATGCATCATCACGCATATCGTCTACGCAGTTTTCATTCAATAGCTTGGTTTAACATGTCGTTCGAGTTATGTTGGCTCTTCATTTTCCGAATCAATTTGGGGATTGCGCGTCTCCTTTCACATTCGCATGGCCTCAAAATTTTCCAGGAATTAAATAATGGGAGAGATTTCCATGTAAAAAGTAGCCAAAAGAGGGACACGTGAGTGGGTCTATGAGTTGTGGAGGAGGGAGGGAGGGGTGGGGGGGGCACTGATTATAACAGTTCTTTTATGGTCACATGCATCGCTCACGGGCAAGAGTTGTACTTTGTCTTCTTAACCCAACAATCATGGCTGAAAACTGGTAACCCCGTCTGCTATATTTCCTCCTCCTTATCCTCCTTTTAAGCGCACACTTTCCAAACCCCACATTGACCACGAATCTTAGATAGCCACATATCCACAGAGAGAGAGAGAGAGAGAGAGAGAGAGAGAGAGAGAGAGAGAGAGAGAGAGAGAGAGAGAGAGAGAGAGAGAGAGAGTATTTTGACTGATCTGAGTCATGTCTCAGGCCTCTCTCAGCTGAGCCAGAGCCTACTTTTACGTGACGTTGGAATTTCCGAGGATAGACCAAAAGAGACAGAGGCATAGATGCTGGGGTAGAGATGTAGTGAAGAGACATTGCAAATGTATGCATGCCCATGGTTTCGCCATACCAGTTAGAAAATGTACATACCAGTTAGAGATGTAGTGAAGAGACAGAGAGAGAAAATGCGAGAGTCCAAGGGTCCAACTAACAATAACTAAATACAGGAAAACACATGACAGAGGAATTGCTTTTTTCCAGGTCACATGTTAAATCCCAGTTCAGTGCCAATTGTTTCAGGACCAAACAATTTAGTGTCCAGAAACAAAACGATGAGAGAACAAACAAAGGCCTGCGTAATATTAAAAAGGCAATTACAGGTACGGAAATAGCATCTAAGAAAATGCTACGGCCAATAAATCATCGTATGATTCGTCGATAGCCGCTTTGAGCTTTCCGTTTACTGAAGTATATATATTAGGACTTGAAGCTTCTTCTTCTTCTTCTTCCTTTCTTTTTGGGGCGAAATATATGTCTGGAGTGTGCGTCGTTATCAGCACCAAGTGATACCAAACTGAGTTATTGTTGTGAATGTGAAATGCTAGTAGAGTCTTGTGGTCCTTCGAACTCTCTGGACCGGGAACTCGTTTTCAGGATCATTGGATCCGAATGTGTTACTCAACACCATGTTTAATTCTTCAATTTAAGAGGGAAGGAATATAACATATCATGTGTCTCTGACTCCTGTTGTGAATCGAATCACGCAATGGACATGGCCGAAAGAAATTACTCGTAATGACAGTAAAACTTTGTAGAAGGATCATACATCGACCGAGTTTCTATGTCTGTTTTGTTTGTTAATAGAGATAGAAAATACATGGAAGAGCACAGTATGAGTCAACTGACTTGCCTTGCTGCGCGCACTCTTCAGAGTCCACAGAAGGTGACAATAACGTCTGAGTATTTATGTTGTTTCTGTTGCTTTCTTTTTGTTGCTGTCATGCATCTCTCTCTCTCTCGCTCTCTCGCAGCGCATTTGGCATTTCAGTTGAATTCAATTTCCATCTTAATTTGACATGACAGGAGTGAGGAGGATTCATTAATAGAGAATAGAGTGGAAATTAGCGAAGTGGTTTTCGCATGAAAATTGATTGGAATAACTACATTGGAACTCCGCGCAAAAATTTAGAACTCAAGTCACAAAATTGGAAAGTTTATAATCGAAATGGTGTCTGTACATAGATTTAGGACCGATAAGACAATTTTCCCACATCATGTGGTCAAGATTTTCGAAGAAGAAAATCAAGATCTCTTTATTGATCGTTGGGGCTGGTCACGATTCCATCTGACCTCTCAAGCTAACCATCAAATATAGATCGATGACCACCTCAACAAAACCAAATTTTTTTCAAATATCTTCCGATAAAAGCACCTGGCTGGCAAAGTATGCCTTGCGATATTCTGACGCAAGGATTAGATGTAATCCTTGTGTTCTTTATGGCTAGACTAGCCGAGGGCTCAGGACACGGTACTTTAATCAATCATGTGATTATGATAATCGATCTTCTGTTTCCGGGGGAATATGCGCAACGCCACAATCCAATCCAATAGGATAAAACAAAGATAGCTGCCGGGGTCGATTTGTTATGTTATGTGACACCCATCACCTCCCTATTGGCATGAGATGAGATGTACATATTGCGAGGAACTTTGAGTACGACCTTCCTCGCCGTCGTCTAGCGCGTCTACGAGCGCTCGTGAACTTTTGATTGCCTTCTCGTGATCTCTCGTCTCTTTTGGAATGATTATTTGTTTGTTTTATATATATATCCCATCCCAATAATTATTAAGCCATCCATAGGCACGCCCTTCTCATTTTTTTTCCGATATCTGAATCTTTTCCCATTTTGTCCATGGCTTTTCATGAACTTGTTGCACAGGCTGTGGCTGGACATGAAGTTAACTATGGTTTTGCAAGTGGCCAATTCTAGCTTTTGTATCATATTAACGTGTATCCGGACTCCATGTTTAAGTAGGGTGATTTTGAAAAGGAGACTTTTCGAGAAAACGATTCGAGATGCTTTTACCGAGTTCGAGGTGCTAGTCCCGACGTTCCGTCACTCGCATTATTCATGCCCCGATCATCGCCGATGACGTCGACCACTCGTCCCCGTCTTGTTTGCATGAATCAATCTCGGTTTGCCTCTTGAATGGATTCGAGTTCCCAAGAACGGGAAAATTACTAAAAAAAAGTTCTAATTGACCGATTTAATCTTGGACCTTTTGACAATTTATCAATATAGTCGTTCCGATCAGTTTTGGATAGCAATGGCTGATATGGACACCGGTCGTCTTACGTGGCATGGCCAGCCGTCCTAAGTAACGTTTCAAATGTTTGGTCTAAATGTATGCAAAGGTTCCAGGCATTTTCAAAAACCTGTTGTCCTGACCAATGAGCTCACCCATTTCTCTTTCCTCTCTGAGAATATTATTGTGGTGCAAGCTAAAGACAAAACCGGTCCTTCATTTGAATCGTTTCCTCATATTGGGGATGCTGAATTTAGAAGTTATCAGTTCATCGTCATGCTTGGTGTCCGGACGTACTCCAAAACAACGAGGCAGGGGAAAAAAATAGTATACATGAAGACGAAGAGTAGCTGATGATCTACTGAATATTTAAGATGAAGAGCTTCAAAGGGAGCAGATTACTTGGTTTTGGGTATCGATTCGGAATAATTTTAAAGGCTAGCGACATCCGTCCCGCCTTTCGTTTGAACGGTAGTTGCTCTATGACTGAACTTGTAGTCTGTAAATCTTAAGTCAAAAACTTTCTAAAACCATCCATTTACCCAACTCCGCTTGTCATTTCCAATGCTGTCCACTGGTTTTTGGGAAGCTCGCTCGACGGACGTTCTTCTCCTTTTTAGCCTCGACTTTTAAGATCAATAGACTCGACAAGAACAATGTGCACTCTTGTTTTACTTGGTAAGTAATAGGGCTTGCTCAACTAAAACCAACTCTACTGCACGGTAATCTCTTCTTGGTTTTCAGCCACAAAATCATATGCGGCCGAAGAAGACTCCATAATAATTATATCAAGGACTAGAGCCGTGGAAATTTCTGGAGGTTGAAGTTAACCTGCACGATGAACGATGCATCTGAACCCAAACACTTCCCGTCATGAGCGTCCCTCGTGTTTATTACTTTCTTTTCCCATGGTTTGTTGAGCATGTGAATTCCTCTGGTGGAGCGAGCGATTTCTATTATATGATTTAAAGTGGGGAGCCACCCTAAGTTTTTAGAAAGACAAAAAAAGCGCTCTTGTCTCGACCTGCTTGTTTGCATCGTGAGGAGGGCTCGTTTCATGGCCAGACAAAAGCCAATCCTCTCTGCGCTCACGGATCGTTCCGAGATGGGAGAGTGAGAGACCCATGTACCCCCAACCCCACCCTAGTTTCCGTAAATCTTGCTGTTCTGAGGGACAAGATCTCTTGCATGTTTCTTCATGGATCTGCTACCTCTCTAGCTTGACCTGCAGTAGATGAAAATGGGTTATGGCCCTGTTAACCCCGCCGATTACCCCATCACCAAAGGCATACATGCACGTCCAGACCAGGAGTAGGTCTTGCGTCAAAGGGGAAACAAATTAAATGTTGATGGAAGTGTTGGCCAAAAAAATGTGGGAATTACATGTGCCTTTTGTGGGTTATACGTCATTAACTTAACTTATCTAACAAAACGAGTCCAGACGATAATCCATTGCTGTACGTGAAGATCGAAAGGGACTCGGCATCCATATTATAAGCCCGTGCAATAATAATTGGGGGGGCTCTTTGCGGAAGCTATGTGCGGCATGTGCACCCGATTTCAGTTGGAATTGTTGGTTGAAAGAGCTAGTTTTGTACTATTCTTGGGAACCTTTTGCTTCAATCACAACCTTCTTCAGATGCGTTTTCAACTTTCAAGTAAAAACAGCATTAGGGTTTAAGCTTATCATGTATTGATGATGGAGGTTGGTCTTTTTACAAAGAGCTGTCTTTAACCATGAAAACTGACAAACTACTCCTATTATAAACGAAAAACTTTGCTTTTCGACCGTGTACATTTGTGTTTTGTTTTCTAACCACGTCTTTGTGCTTTTATTTTATCTAATCAATTCATTCCACTTTTACAAACTGACATGGCTGTCAAACGACATCGTAATGCGACGTGGATAAAATTTTTCCGATGTGGACATCCATGTGTGTGTCCACAATGGCTGAATTTTATCCACATCATATTCTAATATAGTTCACATTGGCTGAATTTTTCTACATACTTCCACATAGGCATTCGCATGTTTTATCCACGTCATATTTTTACGTTGTCCGTCGAAAATTTGATCGGCTTTGGTGTGGAAGGGGTTTGTGATGAAAATGTCATAAAAAAAAAAAAGAGACTACAATCAGTAGAGAAACATCCACATTCAAGGAAAAGATGTAACATTAAAAAATCTAAT